TGTATACAGCAAACATAAAACAGTTCCTAGGAATAATACCAAGCTTCTTGTGATGGCACATACATAAACCCACTTTAGGTCAAATGTATTCCATTTACAAGAAATGTCAAAGCAGTCTTGTCAGATACAAGGTCTTACAAAGGATAATCGATTAGAGAACTCTTAACACTATCACACAAGCTATTCAGGGCAAGGAAAATGTATGAAACTGAGAAATTTAACGCTGAGGTCTGATGACGGCCTTGACTGAGTGCAGTTACTGTGAAGTATGACTACAGGCAACGAGGTTTGATATTTTTTTCTGTCAGGGAATAATCAATCTGCTAGCCATAACAGCTGGCAACAGAAGCTCCAAACTGTGTGTGTCCTACTGCCTAGGAATATTGCACTTCTAATTTTACTCACATGACTAAAAGTTGTAGTGGGAGAATGACAATTTGCATTCTAAATAGGAGTTAAAACAAACAAACATTTATTTTTTTCCACTGTGAAACTACAATCAGCATCAATGGAATACGATTTTCATTCAAATTAGCTATAGTATCTATACAATTAGAGCTGATGATAATGCAAGGCTGATGCAAGGTCTACAGCACCAAATAAACATAGTTCAAAAGGGCTTTGTCGTGCAGATCTTAGCAACCCTGCTATCATTGAGAACAATATTATGTCCAGTCAGACTGTTAATTAACAGGGGAAGGTGTTTGGCCAGATGAGACGCGCTACAGAACACGGATGGCTCTTGCAGAAGTCTTGGGGGAGCTGAGCTGAATGGCACAACAACCACGCTAGCGGATGGTGCTATCTGCTAATGAGGGTACCACCTGTGGCTTTATGAGTCACTTATCAGGATGTCAGGCCCTCACATCCCCAGAGGACCGACACACAACTTGCCTAGTCCCTCTGTTCAACTGTAAGTGATGCAAACACATCAGAAAATATATCTAGGATATCGCACAGGGGACTTGTTGTCAACAGGGAATAATTTTAGCTTGCAGCACAGCATTTAGCCCGTCTTTTTATATGTCAACTACCTGAACTGCAAAGTTCTACATCAACAAGACTGACAGATTACCGGGGCTGTAATGACGTGTTTGGGTAGAAATGTGCAAATTCTAGATAGACTGTGAAGAAAATTTAAGATTTTCCTGCTAGCAGACTCTCATTTTTATTTATTGCTTTGTTTAAGGGTGTTGGCTTGTTGCTCGTTCTATGTATTGTTTACTGACAGCGATATCTGGTTCTTAGTGTTTTTACGATAAACACCGCCATCACTCCTGTTGTTGTTTTGACAACCATTGCGCTTTACAGGGTAAAAACAACTAATTTACTGTTATTCTCTCACTGTTGGCACTGTTGAATGGTAAGGAAATGCAGGTCTTTCTAGGCCTCGGAGTGAATGTAAACCATACGATTTAAAAATACCCTAACATAACCCGATGACTCTGTACTGGCCTGTGTGTTGGACCGATATGTTGTATTTTAAGAGCAATAACTCGCACAGTACACCAAGTTCTGGCCCTTGCTTTCTTGGTTGCTTTGCCCTGTGCAATCTTCCATGAAGGTGCCATCAATTGTACCCATCTGATGACCTGGAAACTCCATGGCACTATAAGAAAATCCACATTCTCTAACACATAACTGTAATAGTGTGAATAGTATTTTTAAACGTTTCTCAGTGGGTGTAACCTTAATACACGTGACTTCCAGGGATAGTCAGTGTTTCCAGTCAGTTTGTGTTTCAATCATGTTATTTAAACAATGTACACAAGTGTTGCACTCAACCATTAAGTGTAAACAAGGCTTTAAAATGGTTACTGGAGAGATCCCAGGGTGACACCCACAACCGCAGAGAGAGCTTTCATACAGTAAATTATCTTGTACAGTCAGGCTGGAACTGTGAAATTTCCAATGTAGATTCCACACCTCCTTACATGCAATTATCCTAAATTAAAATACCCTCCTAATGACAACTGTTTTTAAAAAAAACAGGAACAAGAAGACACAAGATTTTTCTACTTGCATAGATATAGTTTTTCCACATTATACTGGGTGGAGTTTAAAGTTGCTGTGGAGCCACCAACTAAAGGACAGTAAAGAAATCATCTTTCATAGGACTCCTTTTAGTGTCGCTTTCATATTTCATACTTTGTACACAACATCATTTGTTTATATTCTACGTGTGGTTTTCGATTGAGGACAGCTGTGGTCACAAAATGACACACGGGCCTGCCTGTGGCCAAAGTCACATCATCTGCCCTCAATATAACATCGTGTTGCGTTTAAAATAGGCCAAAATATGCACACAACAAAATAGGGCAGGGGCAGATCTACAGCAATTAGGCTACTTGAAATATAGTCAAACGGCTGTACCATTGATTGCATGTACACCAAACACCCTGAGAAACTTGATGCAGGAATGCAGGCGGAAATAGAGTTATTCAAAACAAGTCAGGACAGGGGGATACCTAGCTCAGGTGTAAGCAGGCCAGACAATAGCAGGGGCCAGCTTGAACTACTTAAATTCCTTACTACCCCGACTCCCCACCCTTCTCCATGTGGACGCGCAGCTACAGTTCTCATGTACCTGCATCATCTAGTGTAATACAGAACCTCAAATACACATAGTTTCCAACTGTGCCAATATTATTTAACGTCTGTGTGTCTCCTTCATTTATCAAAAAGAAGCCAGCCAAGTAAGATGACATTAGACTACTTAAACACTGCCCTTTTCTCCCACAAGGATTATTAAAAATTAATCTCACATTTTGACATAATTTCTTTTCTGAAAAACAAAATAGGCTACATCAGAGTGCTAGTAGCCTAGATTGCCAAAAAGCAGTTGTAGGCCACAGGAAACTGGGACATCATGTGAGTGGCAGTAAAACTTCATGTGTTTCTAATTATGGCAGAAACAAGATTAAAGCCATTACATATTGTTTCTCTGGAGGCAAGCCTATGATGGAAATCAAATGATCAATGGTTATTGGCTAGCACTAACATTGTAGTACCATGCACTAGAATAACAAACAGACCAAGGCCATCAGGTAATAGCATTATACCCTAGCTGTGGTTCGAGTATTGAGGCTCAAATACGCTGGAGAGGAGCAGAAACACACATTTGCAAATGTGAATCGTTTTAGAAAGGGCCGATATCCATTTCAAGTGTCAATTTTACAATGTCAGAAGATCCACCGTTTTTTCCCCCATTAGGTATCTGAATCTGTTTTGACCACTAACCTTTTTAAAAACAAACTGACAGATGACACAATAAAATAAATGTTGGGGTAAATTGCCAGAGATCTACACACTGTGTCAACAGCAATGTTTCAATGGAGCCATGCTTTGATCCCGCAGAGATATTCTTCAGGCTTTGTCGAGGCTCGAATATACTCCCAAACGGATGCATACACGGACAGTTGTTGGGCACTACGGCCGTGTAGTAGTTCTGTTTATATGACTTACTGGAGCCCACGAGGAGGATGTGTTTCACACAGTGTAGTAACTGTGTGGACAGTTTGCGCAGTCACAACAAATTGGGGGCACACAGATGTCAGCACAGAGCCTAAGCATACAATCTAATTGCGACATTTACGGCACGCAAACACTAGCAGACAGAGGTGTAGGTGTGTATGCGAATATCCAACTCCTAAAATTAAAAACCAACTAACAAATATCTTAATAACGTGGCTACTGAGTGTTTATACCTCCCTTATTAGGTCTGTGTCAACAGGATGGAGAGGGATATAATATTGTCACCTTTCTTACCCAGAAAAGGGAATTATAAGATAATTTTAATGATGGTGATCAATACAGTGTTTAACATAATAGAGACATCATTTTAGACTGCTGATCATATAACATTAGCAGATAATCTTCTCTATTCTATTATAGAATCTAATTTCAATATAAATTGTCGGCCGTTTGTCCCTTACTATTGCTTTAAATGCTGAGTAAGTCGATGGTGAGTTACAATACTTGCTGAGCTGATCCTTTCATCTAAACATTAGCCAACCATTGTTAAGTGTAAATGTGTATTGCTCAGGTAAGCTCTGCTCTGGCGGTGGAGAAGTGATTATTAAGGTATTTAGGGGGTTAATTACTACATCAAAAACACCCACAGACTTTTACTCACCTTTATAAAACACCCCAAATGTGTACACTTAACACTCCCTCAGAATGTCTTTAGAAAGAAAGACATAAAATAAAAATCTGTAATGTGAGCGCTTATTCTTTCCCTGTGGTCTCTCTCCATCTGCTCTCATCTCTTGCTGTCTCACTCTCCGTCTTGCTGTATTAGTCTCATCTGTCTCCTCCATCCTGTCCTGTTGATATCTGTCTTTCCTGATTTCCTGGTGCTCTCTGTTTCTCTAACACTCCTTAAAAATCAAGATCAAACATGAGCACAATTTGTGACAGTAACACGGGTCACAGATGAGTGCAGACATCGGTGAGAGGGACGTTAATATCAGCTGCACATTATATAAGAAGCACCGACCAACTGATCAGTCATATCCAATAAAACTACGCTGTTTTCATTCATAAAAATGACACACCGCTCTCATGTCATTAAGTAAACCGCAGTATGTAGAAAGTTACCAGCTGTCCGTCTAGAGAAACAGGAGTGTGTCTCCCACCCGCACTCAGAAAAACACACAACACTCTATGAAGATCACTTAATGGCAACACAGACTTAGCTTATTCTCTGAAAGACAACAGTAACATTAAAGCTTTTATTTCCAGGCCAGAGGAAGTTGATGATGCAAGCTACTATCGGTCATTAAGTGTGGTCGTCAGCTGAGACAAGAGTTTTCCGAGGCTGAATCCTAGCTCTGTCTACAGAAAACTCATTGTTCCAGTGGTGGATAGTCTGACATGCTTAGCAATCGGGGCTGGCTCCAGTGGCAACAATAAACCTCTTTCAATCACTCTAACATTTTGCCCCTTTGACACTGACTGCAGTCACACTGTTTAGGTCTGTGGAAAAGTTGCTTTCTCACCAGTTCCGTTGCACAGACATCTCCCTGTTTATTTCCATCACTGTCTCTGTTGGCTCATCTGTCTGTTCAGCGAGTTTACTTGGCCTTTGTGGGTGGTTAGCAGTCTCACACACACACACACACACACACACACACAGCATGTCCTGTTAACCGGGCAGCTGTGTCTTTTCCCCGACCACAAACAAAACCACCACCACCAACAACAACAAAACGACACAACTGTTCAAATACATGTGAGATCAAGTATCTCCCCCCACCCAAAAAACAGGGGATGGGACGTGTTTGCGAGACTTTGTGGAAAACAGTGCTAAATCAAGCCACCCGTTCCGCCCTCTTCTTAGAGACGAATAAACGAGTCAAAACAGATCTCAAATGTGGTCATACCAAGAAGCGCAGGGCAAAAAAAAAGATGTTTGACTAGCATTAAAGCTCTAGGTTAATATTTACAGAGAAAGATGGATCAGCAGAGAATACAATCGGTGGTTCACTGCCACAATAACGTTAGTAGGGACACCTGTGAAATAGCGTTACATGAAAATCATGGCTGACACAGGTGGTTTTAACAGGCTACAAAACACTGCTTTTATTCACATTCAGGCCTCGGCAGCCACTGTACAGTATGGCTTAAGGGCTTATAGTCTGACCACCTATAAATAGATAGGCAAGCTGGCGTCTTCTCTGTTTTAGCTAGCTAGCTCGCTAGCTACAACACAGCCTACACTGGAGTCGTGTATTCACAGCGCGATTTGGGGGGTTAACAGTGTTAGCTACAGGAATGTGGTTTACAAAGCAGGAAAAAAAATGTATTCCTCCTCATAGCTAGCCTAAATATTAACCAGCTCCACGTTGTCGTCGGGTTAAAATCCACCCAGCGTGAACTGAGCATCTGTCAATCACGTTGAATCGGGGTTAACGATAACGGGAGATGTTTTTTTTTTTTTTTTTTGGTCGTCTACTGCTCAAATGTTTCCTACACAAGGCCAGTGAGCAGCTAACGGTACATATAATAAAACGGTAATAAAAACAAACAACAACAACAGTCAAAACAGCGCATACCGAGAGCAAATAGAGCTTAATGTATGTTACAATACAGCGGTGTTCAAACTCGAAGAGTTACAGCATTACACTTTAACTAACTGTTACCTTGCCGCCGACTTGGAGCCAGAGTGTTAACTAACCAACCTCACCGGGCTGAGAGGGCTCTGCGGTTAGCTAGGCTCCGCTTAACACAAAAGACTGGTACAGAGGTGTGTAGTGTAATTACCTTGCCGTCGAAATGTTTAAGGACTTCTCTTCAAATTGTAGTGGGGCTCCTTTTTTTTTTGTTTTTTGTTTACCGCAATGTGGTAACGTTACGAATCCCTCAGCGAGTCCGTCCAGTGTTTTCATGGGGAGGAGGGTTGTGACTGGAGAGGTGGGGAGTTCCCTTCATTACGTCACCATGCTGCCTTCATGGACCATCAGCACTGTTTAGACTCCTTACGGCAAAAGACGTGGGGGTAAAGGTGTAATACCGGTTCGCAGCAACTTTGGACATATAATATAATAGGTCTATGAAAGCAACACGTCCGATTTTCAGACACCACGATGACTTGCAAATCTCGTAGCACATTTGTTTGATTTTGTTGAGAGATGAGACATATTTACACATTTAACACTCTGAAGTTGGGGCCCGGGAGGAGTATGTAAATTCAGCAACACCAACGACGCAGAAAATGCAGCGTTGGAACAGCACACGCCAGCCCCACTCACTCATCTGAAGCCATCTATTGGTGAAGGGTTCAGCATGCTAAATATTTTTAAATTGACACACTATACTATGCTTTGATATGAAAGCTCTAATGATAATATTATATATATATATATATATATATTGCCAGTGATATGGTTTGAATAAATAACACAATATTAATTATTTCTATCACATAATATAATTAAATTTATGTTCAATGCAATCAGCTGTGTTCCACTTTTGTAAATTTGCATCGGACAAAAAGTCTAGATAGATCTAAACCAAAACCTTCTTGGCTAATGTTGTTAGTTTTTAATTCATATTCTTCAAATTATGAATTTGGACAACTTTGAATGACATATGAACAAATCATAATGATATAACTCCACTGTTCATAAATCATCATAAGAGGACAGTGGTGAGTCCTGAGAAAAGACATTTGAATAGTAATTCTGCCACAGTGCTTTTGATACCACTGATCAGCTCATACTGCTTGATAAGATATAAAAACTAAGTTGGCGTATCTTGAATACCCACTGAGTACATTTTCTTCTGTCTAGTCTGACTTTCACTGTCTCTAGAGGCGACTTCACATCCTTATCAGCCTTACAGATATGTGACTCCTTCGTGGATCAACAGTTGGTCCGTCATCTTAGGACATAATCTATTTAATTTGAAAAAGCCTCTTTACTATGTAAGGCATGATTGCCTGACTCCCCCCACTCCAACCTGCACTGCACAGAATTTTCTCCAACTAACCCTGCAAAAAAGGTTTTTGATTGGCTCCAGACAGACCAAATCACCCCATTACCTGCTTCCATTTACCAGTTCCCACTTCACTTGAGACTTGCTTTTAATTTCTCTTGTTTATTGAGGTTTTTGAATTGACTGGCCACATGGGACCTCCTGTAGAGTCTGCACTTTATTATCAGATTTCCCTGCCAAAGCTGAAAACTAATTAACAAATCCTAATGTAGAATTGGATACATTACTGGTTAAACAATCAGCAATTATTGGAAGAATGTAAACAGAAATTAAGAAAGAAAATATATCTTAATTATATGATATAATATAATAATATAATATAATATCTTATATTGCAAGTTGACATTTAAATGAGAATAGTTGATTTTTAGTCAATGCCAGTGTCAAACTCTGCTCTTGTATATATATATATATATATATATATATGAAGCAACAACTGAAAATAGACGAAAGTGATATACACCTATAGAACAAGAATTTCTACCAAACTGACTGAAATATAATAGGCAGACAAGTGAGAATTAAAATAAGCTCCATAGTGACTTGTCAAAAATGTGGAGTGGATGGGTAAACAAATGACAAAAAGAAGGGCATGACCCTACAAAACAAATGGCAAATGTTTCGTTGTGCCACTTCAATCTAAAAGCTGTCAAAATGAAACTACTGGAGCTGTGATAGTGAGTGATTGTATACCTACCAAACCAGGGTTGTCAAACCAATAAGTTGTGGTCAGAGAGCAGATAAGCAGAGAAAGAACACAATCTCCTTATAAAACAACTTTACAACGACGATATTGATATGAAGATATTAAAACATTGTTAACCAAGTGGACCTTTGTAACCAATTTTACAACAATTACATTTTCATAGACATGTGGTTCACAAAATACCTTTATAATCTGCCATCTAAATATAGTTTCATTTTCAATTCTTATTTTTTCTTTTGACATTGTCAGTCAATAGCAAGCACATTTTAGGTCATGCTGCTGTGAGGAAATTGAGATAAACAAACTGGACTGAACTTTGCTCAGTCCCATTTTTGACACAAATGTTTTTGGTTTGGCAAAGTTTTGGGGACAGCTGCTCTTCAAGTCTCTTCTTGTGTGCATCATGCTGACTTTTCTTTGTAAATTCACTGTCTTTCATTTCCTCCTCATCTCATACTGGTTACTTAATTATGTCAAATCTGAGGACAAGCCGAATATACCAGCAATCGCTAAGTATTTCAACACCAAAGGGAGGTACGAGGAAGTGAACCCATATCTCACAGAGGACATACTTGCTGCAAACGGGTCTATTTTACAGCCTCCATCTGCAAAATGTCAAGAAATGTATCTGACTGCAATAATAAGACACGGCACAAGATATCCAACAACCAAAAACATCAAGGAGATGCAGCAGCTCTACAACATAGCCCAGCATAATGCCTCAGGCCAAGAGAGCTGGCTGCGCGAAATCCAGACCCAGTGGACGATGTGGTACACTGAGGACATGGATGGCCGACTCGTCCAGAAAGGTGTGAACGATCTAAAGCATCTGGCCGTCAGGCTGTCAAAGCTGTTCCCCTCACTGATTTCGGAGGAGAAGCTCCGAGGTGGATTCATCCAATTCATAACCAGCTCAAAGCACAGGTGTGTCAACAGCACACTGTCCTTCAAGGCTGGACTGACAGAGCTGTGGGCTATTACAGGTACGACCCTGATGATGATATTATTAGTATTACCACCTACATGCACTTTCAATAAAACCTGTTCCTTTTTCCCACCCAGATAAGGAGTTCGACCATTCGGTGAATGATACTCTCATGAGGTTTTTTGACCAGTGCACCAGGTTTGTGGAGGAAGTTGATAACAACATGTCAGCTGTGGTAGAGGTGAACAAGTTCAAGCAGGGACCAGAGATGAGGAGGGTCCAGGAGAAGATCGCAGACCGTCTCAGAGTCCCGCACAGTCTCATCACTCACGGTCATATACCTGCAGACACACTACTTTGGATGCTGTTGAGTGTGTTGTGTGCATGTAGTCTGAAGTATTTTGCCTTGGATCAATGCTCGCAGTGGTCCCAAACTGCACGCTGTGTATTTTAAATGACCACTGATCCTATTTACAGTATGTGATCCAGGGATATTACTCATGAAAAGAGTAATTCCAGATTCTTGAGTTAGTTTGCCATTAATCCAAACATATCAACATTACAGTACTGAATGTGTGTCACAGCCTGATCCAGACTGTAGACTCAGTGCATACTGATTAGATACTGTATGTCAGCTTATATGTATCCACTGGGTGGAGCTGTTTTCTAATTTAGCAGTACTGAGGCTCCTGCAGCAGGTTGTCGTGAAACTTGTCATTTATGGCCTTGAATTAGTAATATCGGCTTCAAACAGTAACAAAAGAATCACATGCCTACTTCAGTTTTAGGATAAAGACTGAGCAACTATAATGTTTCTGTACTACATTAGACAAGCTGTTGGTGTGTGTGTTCTCTCTAAGTACTGTCTAGTTCGAGAGGATGTCACTTTTCTGGCATCTCAAGTTTTTAAAAGCTGCAGTTTTCAATGTAATTTGACCACTAAGCATTTTACACCAACCTCTCTCCTGCAGATATGACTGAGGCTGCATTTTACTTGTGTGCTTATGAATTTGCAATCAAGGCGGATAACTCCCCCTGGTGTCAGCTCTTTGATGAGGACGATGCACAGGTAGGAGAAATTAGTGGTCAACTGTGTGTAGCTTTAATGTGGCAGCGGCATCAGATCCTTCCCTTAATTAAGCTATGATGTTTATGAGGCTGATTACAGTCAGCCAGGAGATAATTGCTGGTCAAAATGTGAGCTGCTTGTTTCAAGTTCATTTATTTATGGAGTCATTTATTACAGTGTATAAATATGCCTTAGTAGGTGAAGCACAGGTGTTACTAATTACATTAATGATGGGTCTGTTCTATTCAAGTGCCTCAGTAAGTCATGGCTGTGTGACAGAGAGTCAGCTTGCACAACACCATGACTCTGAAACTGGAGCAGCTTAATAGAGTTTAGCCATCATTCATTTTATTATTTACAGCTCTGATTTTCCTACTGTGACATATTAAAAAATATCCTGTGAAAATGAGTGCTATTAGACACTGCTGAAACAGATCTACATTTTACTCTGCAACTTTGGCAGCCGGATTTGTATGTTTTTTCACCATCACAAGTTTATTTATTTATAGGGTTTTTTTTTTTTTTATCAGCAAGTGTTTGACAGGATGTTTTCATTCATAAGCAAATATTGTTCAAATTTATCACAAGCAAGTCTCCTAGGACTTTACAGATGGGAGAGAGGTAGGGGTGGAAAGAACACAGGGTTAGCGTAAGGCAGGTAGGTCGAGGGTTTATTTTGCCATATGGTCACAACAAAGTAGCAATTGAGCTACTTGATCAGACCGACACTTTGGTCAACCGAGGGCACAGGATCGTACAGAAACTGAACCAACTATTGAATCCAACACAAACAGGACAGAGCAAACAAACATCTGTACCTAATCCAGGTCAGAGGTACTCAGGAACCCTCAGCATTAGACAAATCATCTATCCTATTGCTATGTTATCCTTTGTTTTTAGGAATATGAATATGAACTTAAGTGGTTCGTTCCAGGAAACACACTCAAAAGCAAAACAAAAATCACAGTGCATGAACTTCTCTGTTTGGCCATATTAAATCATTGAGAAACCCTCGGGCATTATATATTTTTTAAAGAGTGTTTTGTCTTGTATTACAAGCTGACCTAACACTCAAAACTAGCAGCTTGCTAAATTTGGAAATTCTTGTTTTAAAAGTCTTTGCTTAAAGCCCTCCCACATACAGGCTACCTTTGAACTGCACCCACAGGTTATGGAGTATGCAAGTGACCTGAGGGAATTCTGGAAAAGGGGCTACGGTTATGATATTAACAGCAAGTCAAGCTGCGCGCTCTTTCATGACGTGTTCAGACGACTGAACAAGGCAGCTGATGAGAACAAGTAAGAGGCCTGCAGTCTTTAGAAATGTATTGCTGAAGACCTTGATCAAAAAACCTTCGGTGGAATAGATTATTCCAATTATCAGTTTTATCTGCTTGTCCTTCAATCTTGTTTGTTTTGTTGCTGTTCTTGACTGTTTTTTTGTTAGCAAGTTTATATAAATCTATTAAACTACATAATCTGTGTCCTTTTAGTTACAGTTGTGAAATTCAGCTCTTTCAGTGTTACAGCAGAAGTTATGTTAAATTCGGAACCCTGTTTGCCCTAAATGTCAGGTCAGGCCAGCAGGTGACTGAAGCTGTGACGGTCCAGATCGGCCACGCAGACACCCTCCTGCCACTGCTTACCCTGCTGGGCTTCTTCAAGGACAGCGATGCCCTGACATCCACCAACTACGCCACACAGACCCAACGCTCCTTCCGCACCAGCCACATGTTACCCTATGCAGCTAACTTAGTCCTGGTGTTATACGACTGCGGGGGAGGCGACCTGAGACTGCAGCCGCTGCTCAACGAGAAACCTGTGACTTTCCCCGGTCTGACGGACCAGAGGGCCTCCATCCCGCTCTATGAAGACGTCAGAGAGCACTACAGGGAACTGCTCCAAGGCTGTGACTTTGAGGCTGAGTGTCAGCTGTTCAAGAGTCCTGCTGAAGTTTAGGCAGATTCTGGAAAAGAAGGAATTATTGTGTGGCTTTATTCGCTTTTATTTGCAATAAACAATAAACAATATGCTCCTTTATGGATGCTTTACATTCACTTCACAATCACTTTGACACTCACTTTAAGGAAGCACACCAAAATGTTTTTCGGGGCCAATACAGATACCGATAATTAGTAATCAAAGACACTGATATTTGGAACCAATTTTACTCAAATAGCTACTGTACTAAAAGACACTTTTGAGGCACTAGTACTTTACTTGAGTATTTCCATTTCCCCATCTGTGGCACAGCAGCCTTCAGTGTTGATAGGCTTTTACTTGTGATGTGTCACCAATCAGATGGTGCTGTGGGTTGAGCGACACAACATATACAATAGTGACAAAACAAAAGGAGCAGCAAGGCTGCAACAAAAAGCCAGGCCAATAATCGGTTTATTTATCGCTCTCGGTTTCTTTCCATAGTTATGGTAAATAAATTGAAAGTTATTAATGATAATAACTTTTAGTTATTAATGATAATAACTTTCTGAGTAGGAAAACTGAATTCCCTTTTGCTATTGACTTGTCTGTGGATATTTTTTTAGATATATACTTTATTAATCCCCTATTGGAGAAATTGTTATTTTCACTCTTTTTATTTTATACACACACACACAGTGGTGATGAATGGTCGGGGGGAAGGGTTATGGTATGGAGTGATGCCCCATGAGCAGTTTCTTGGGGTTAGGTTGCCTTGCTCAAGGGCACCTTGGCAGTGCACAGGAGATGAAACCGGCACCTCTCCAGCTACCAGTCCACACATTTACTTACTTATAAATAGATTAAATCATTGTAAGGCCAGAAAAATGACGTAAAATTCAATTCAATTCAATTTTATTTGTATAGTGCCAATTCATAACAGAAGTTATCTCAGGACACTTTCCAAATAGAGCAGGTCTAGACCGAACTCCTTATAAAATTATTTACAGAGACCCTACAGTCCCCAACAATCTATTTAGGTACATACTGAAGTGAAACTCACTTATATTATGCAGCAAATCATTTACAATAACAAATGGCAGGATTGTGACTAAAATATGCAGTAGTAGGCAGCCAGGGTAATTTTTAGTGACTGATTAAAAGAGAGCAACAGTGGTGGAAAGTGCATCTACCTAAGTACTGGATCTACAATTTTAAAAATGAGGCACATAAAAGTAATATTTTACACAAAAGAGCAAAAATTTGATTAAAATGTATCATCTCATGACCCCTCAGATTTATCTTGTGTCCCTTTGAAGGTATAGTTGCTGAATACTGTACTTAAGTACAACTCTGAGTGTACTTTTTACTCCACTATATTTATATTTAATAACTTTTGTTACTTTGCAGAGTCAGATTAATACAAAATATAATTAAAAAATAAATTATGATATATTATTATGGATAAAATAAGACTTTATTGATCCCTGGATGGGGGAAATTCACAAGCTACCCAGCAGCATATAAATCAGCTCCACCTTTACCAGCTGCAACATTAAAGTGCTGAACACATTCTGCATAATGACTACTTTTACTTTTGGTATTTTGATGCTAGGACTTTTACTTTTACTTGTATGCAGGACTTTTACTTGTAACTGAGTATTTCTACACTGTCGTATTGATACTTAAAGACCCCCTCCCGCTCAAAAATATCTTCCTGTTCTTACAGTTGGATGTTTGAGCTTCACTGTACAGAATAATGTCCGTGCAGAGTCTGACACTAGAAGGATGTTTTCACATTCATCTGCTGAAAGCAGAAAGTTTCTCTGTGCTCATTGATAATGTGATTTTTAAGGGGCCGGGCCTATGAGCATGTTTTGTGACATCACAAATAGTTTGGAAGTCAATATTTAGCAGCTTAACTATTGGTATATATATGTCTGAATACATGTCTGTAGGGGATCTTTAAGTAACACCACCACTTTTAGGTCATGTTTTATGGTGTTACTAGAAAGTGAGGGGTGGAGCCAACGAATGTTGATACAACTTATAGAGGAATAATGCTAATAGTTCTGAAAAGTCTATTTAGAAACAAGGACAAGCAATACGTTGTCAAAGGTGTTCAAACTCCACCAGGGTCTATTATGTAAAAGCTGCAGGCTTTACTCTGCTGTGTGACGGATTGGTTAGACAGTCCCACATGGGCGACGTCACCCACTTTTGGCTCGGGTAGGTGGGGGTGGGGTGGGGGAGTGCAAGCGGCCATACATCCGCGCTACCAGGCTGTACCATGGGGATTACTTTTTGGAAAGTCCTTTTTGTTCATTTCACCACCATAAGTGGCTTTTCCTGCTGTTCTCGTAACGACGTGAACTCCGAGTGGGATCCAAACATACCCGCGATCGCCAAATATTTCACCACCAAAGGGAGGTACGAGGAAGTGAACCCGTATCTCATAGAGGACATACTCGCCGTGAACAGATCCGTCCTGCAGCCTCCATCTGCACAATGTCGGCAAATCCATCTGACTGCCATCATAAGACACGGTACGAGGTACCCAACGTCCAAAAACGTCAAGAAGATGCAGAAACTTTACGAGCTGGTGAAGAGCAGCGCCTCAGGTAAAGAGAGCTGGCTGCGCGAAATCCAGACCCAGTGGACGATGTGGTACACTGAGGACATGGACGGCCGACTCGTCCAGAAAGGTGTGAGCGACCACAAGCATCTGGCCGTCAGGTTGTCAAAGCTGTTCCCCTCACTGATTTCAGAGGAGAAGCTCCGAGGTGGATTCATCCAATTCATAACCAGCTCAAAGCACAGGTGTGTCAACAGCACACTGTCCTTCAAGGCTGGACTGACAGAGCTGTGGGCTATTACAGGTACGACCCTGATGGGGTAACACACACTATCAGTTTACCACTAAGATGCATTTTTTATTAAAAACCTGTTCCTTTTTTTTTTTCTTTTCTTTTCCCACCCAGATAAGGAGTTCGACCATTCGGTGAATGATGCCCTCATGAGGTTTTTTGACCAGTGCACCAGGTTTGTGGAGGAAGTTGATAACAACCCTTCAGCTCTGTCAGAGATGGACAAGTTCAAGCAGGGACCAGAGATGAGGAGGGTCCAGCAGAAGATCGCAGACCGTCTCAATGTCTCGTACATAAAAATCACAGATGGTCAGTGGCGGGTGAAGTACACAGATCCTTAATTTAAGTATAAAAAAAACAACAAAAAGTTCAAAATGGTTAAAAAAAAAAAGGTTCAATGTTTTCAGCTTTATTTTCATTATACAACAAAATTGCATAATGAATGAAATGCTGATTCAGCTGTAGCCTTCTTCATGCTACACACACAGAAAATGCATAAACAGACATTTCAAATTAGAATAGAAAAAAAATAATACGACAGAACAAAGAATAGAAAAATTGTACTAAAGGAAGAAAAAATGTAATATCCCCTCTCTTTCCCCGCTTCCTGTCTATCTTCAGCTGTCCTAACAATTACAGGCAACCCCTGGGGGGGGTAGATAATGGTATAGTAATGTGTGAAAGAGGGCTAACATATAAGATTCACAGACGCTGTTTTTACGGTGGTGTGCAGAGGACATAGGGGACAGAAGCTGCTCTGTTCGTCTGCTGGTACGGCAGCGAATAATTCTCTATTGTTTGTGGGATGGCAGCAGGGTGAACAAGCTGTGGCTGCGGCGGGTGTTGTTTTAAATTTTCCTCATTCCTGAGATTTCACACATGCTTGGTGGATGGGTACCAATAATGTTTTGGGCGTTTGTTTAACCACCTGCTGGCAGCTGCAGACCCCTTCTGTCCTGGGCCACGCACAGAATGCTTTCTCTTGCTCCTCTATAAAAGCTCAAAAACAACTTGGACAGGAACTTCTTAAGTTTCCTTAACTTGGTGGATTTGTGTAATGTCCATGACAGGTTCTCTTGCAACCATAACCCTTACCCCCGACCATACAGACAGCAGGCCAAAGTGGTCCAAAATTGGATTTTTCTGCTTGTATGTGACTCATATGAGATTTTTTTCATGATAGTGTGAACAGCACAAATCACATGAAATTTGATTCGGGCCACATTCAGATCTGATACAGTGAACAGTCATATCAGAATTCATTTGACTTTTATGTCACTCTAGATCAACATCTGTCACACGGGTCACTTCAGGACCGTGACCTATATGGTCAACATTGGCCATATTAAAAGAAATAATGTGAACAACTGATCTAAAAACTCAGATCTGAACAATAATTGAGCATTTTGTTTTGTCTTAGTCTTGCACTGTGAACGTAGCCTTAGTTTGTTAAATGTGTGCATCAGACTGAATATGGATTCCAGATCTCTTACTTACAGGTACCCAAAAGAAAAGAGCAACTCCTGATTGGCAAGATGATTCTGTCTTGAGTTTATTTAAAAGCGTTGAGTTTATACATAGTTGTTGATTTTCAAAGTATCCATTATTATTGTATTATTGAAAACTTTATTTTCCATAAATGCAAAACTTTATGCTTGCCTGTCAACAAATTTTTACATTTTGGGATGTTCAGTTGAGCTATTAACTGAAAGAGTATCAATTGAACTCCATTTTCACAATCATTTGAATCAAATTACACAGTATTTTTCTGGGAACCTCCCAATGAATCAGTTCCTTTCCGGGAAATTGTCAGAAACTATGAGCCTCCTAAAACAAAGTGTTAGCCAATAAACCTTTTCAGTCTATGTCGGAGCCTGAAAACCTACTCAAGTGTCTAATTACATTATAAACACAAACACAAGTAGTCATTAAAAGATTATTAGTGGTAGTCATTATTAGGGGGGAATCATATACAGAACATCCCATTGGCCATATTTGCACAGTAGATGGAGCTGTTTTCTAATTTTTATTGTATATTACTATGTACTGAATTAGACTGATGGTGGCTTTATTTGTGCCACAGGCCTCAAACTGGTGCAGTAATTCACCAATACACACCATGGTGATTAGGTTTTATGATGATGTGCCAAGTGCTTTTTGTTGTGTTTGTGTTAATGAGTACCTGGCCTGTTTGATTTCAGTACTTATTGACATTTTACTGCAACCTTTCTCCTCCAGATATGGCTGAAGCTGCATTCTACTTGTGTGCTTATGAGTTTGCCATCAAGACTGTGAACTCTCCCTGGTGTCGGCTCTTCGATGAGGTCGATGCGCAGGTACGATCTGTTTAATGATTGTAGATTAAATGTGCCAGTGTGTCCAAATGTCTGTGTTAATTAAACATGCAGGTAAGATTTCATTGTGAGGGTTGGAGGAGATTTTTAAAGGGTCAGTAACCTGAAGTGCTTGTTTTAAAATAAGTTAACCTTAATCATTTATCATGATGTGGACCAATATGATGCTTTCCTGCACAAGTAGAGACTTAGTCAAAGTAGAGACTAAGTCAAAACTGCTGTTTATTTATGTGCCTTTTCTATCACGTGTACAATTTTAAATGTTTTGTGCATAAGAAAAGAAAAGTTAAATAGGAACACAAAGAAAAATAGCTAGATTTAAGGCTAAAAACACAGGATAAAGCAAACTAACAGGCCTGTTTGCCTGTGGTAGAAGTACCCCGCATTAACAGTCTTAGACACACAAATCATGTGAGGAACAATGTCACCAAAGGCACTTTTGTATGGCAATATGTTTTATTTATATTTGTTTTTATTCCTGGACTGAAAGGAAAGGGCTGAAAATTAGCTTCACATAGACATCATATATCTGTTGCCTTACTTCTTCCTGTGTCATCTGTACCGTCTGTGTTAAATAAATACAGTTAATAAAAAGGGGAATGTTTGCAAGTTAGAGAAAGACTCCTGCCTTATCTGCTAGCTTTCTGCAAGTAGCCTGCAATGCTTTCTCTGCTTAGCCGTCTTCATTCATTGAGACGCTGTTTGGCGTTACTCATGTCACAAAGAGTGTTTTGTGTCTCGTGTTACAAGCTGACCTAGCACTCGGGTAACATGAAATGTTACCTCACAAAACAATGGACTGATTTTTAGCCCCCATCCCAAATCCAGGCCAGTAGTGATTTGTGCTCTCTGGTTCATCAGGTTATGGAGTATGCAAATGACCTGAAACAGTTCTGGAAAAGGGGATATGGTTATGACATCAACAGCAAGTCGAGCTGCATTCTCTTCCATGATGTGTTTAGTCGACTGGACAAAGCAGCCAACGCAAGCAAGTGAGTAAAACCCTTCAGTACAGAAAAATGGAGGGTGGTGTGTATTTTTACTCTGAATATATACTGTGAACAAATCCCATAAAAACACCAAAAGCAATGATAAGATAGTCCGTCTCTCAATTCTTTCAAACATCCTTACCCTGGCTTTGGTTTTTAGCCCGAGACTATTCGTTGCTGCTAAAGATGTAAAACTTTCTGGACTATTTTCAGTCGCGGATGAATACAGATGTAGGACTCTAGTGAGTATTAGCAAGTAGAAGTGAAATAATTACTTAATCGATACATCGCCTGACAGAGAGTTAATTGGAAACAGTTTTGATAATTGATTAATCTTTAAGTCATGTATCAAGCATAGACACCAAACCACTGTGTTAACAGTGTGAATTCTCTCTTATTCTCTGTTTGAAACCACTGTAAAACTAATATCTCTTTTGACTTTTAAGACCTCACTCTTAACTCTGGGAACTCTTGACATTTTTTACTCTTATCTGGCAATGCATAGACTGAGCACTTTATCAAGAAAGCAATTGGCAGACGGATCTGTGATGCAAGTAATTGCTAGTTTCAAAAGTATTTTTATGCCATTACATAAAGATTAATGTCCATTAGTGGTGCCAAGAACTGGTACTGACAAACCCAACTTGCAGTACTAAACACTCAAACAAAACAATGCAATGTTCTTGCTCCACTAGTAAATAATTATCTAATCATTTGGCTTTGAGTTACAGCTTTTCAATCTTAATGTTGATGTGAATTGTGATTTTGTTTTCAGCTAAAAGTCTTGGGAAGGGCAACAAACTTTAGTTGTATAAACACATCTGTTGAATGAGGATCTTCATCACAAGGATGAGATTTGGTAATTTGGTAAAAAACATAAACACGTGTTTATCGAAAGATATTAATCTCCTGTGTGAACACACCAGGTTGTACTGGCACACTCAAACTCTGTTCAGGCCTCTACACCTCAAAAAGAGTGGAATGGACTAAATAAGTATTGTTTGATCTGGTTTTCCTGTGATCTGGGTTCTTATGCTGTTGCTCTTGGCGAGAGGCATTTCTTTCCTGTTTGAAACATTCAGCCTTTTAATAACCAACACACTGGTTAAAGCCATATCCCTTTAGTTAAAGAGTGCTGTAGGCCCTCCCTTGTTTACCAACTCAGAGTAGGTACATGTTTCATGCAGGAGCTGTTTCTATGAAGTTTTTGTGTATTCGTCTACAGTTATTTGACAAAATGAGTCCACAGTTTCTCTTCCCTGATTCAATTTATGATCATTTAAGTAAGCTGTGGAGAAGATAACAGTTCTCTCCTTCACTAAGACATCAATATGAACCTTTTTCTAAATTTGTCTGCACAAATACACCACTGTGACACCACAGGACGGTTACCCTGTTAAATGCATGTAAACATCTTTAATTGCACTTTGTTTAGATTGTCAATCTGTAACTACTGACCAAAACCAGTTTCTGAATAAATGTCGTGGCAGAAATAGACATTTTTCATGTGATATCTACCTAAGTTGCAACAATTATTTTCATGATTACAATTTATTAATTGATAATCAAAATTGTTGGCAATTAACTTTCTGACTAATTGTTTCAGCACTAATATCTAAAACACCTAGTTTTAGGTTAGTAGTTGTCTACGATGTTGGGGAGAAAACTGCTGATTGGTTCGATATCAAGCTGAATTGACTCTTGTGTGGATGTTTTCCAGACTTGTGTCTCATGGTGAAAACTTATCTTGCCACATATAGTCCAAATCATTTTGGCAAATTTTCCTGTATGTCAGGTCAGGCCAGCAGGTGACTGAAGCTGTGACGGTCCAGATCGGCCATGCAGAGACCCTCCTGCCACTGCTTACCCTGCTGGGCTTCTTCGAGGACAGCGATGCCCTGACATCCACCAACTACGCCACACAGACCCAACGCTCCTTCCGCACCAGCCACATGTTACCCTATGCAGCTAACTTAGTCCTGGTGTTATACGACTGCGGGGGAGGCGACCTGAGACTGCAGCCGCTGCTCAACGAGAAACCTGTGACTTTCCCCGGTCTGACGGACCAGAGGGCCTCCATCCCGCTCTATGAAGACGTCAGAGAGCACTACAGGGAACTGCTCCAAGGCTGTGACTTTGAGGCTGAGTGTCAGCTGTTCAAGAGTCCTGCTGAAGTTTAGGCAGATTCTGGAAAAGAAGGAATTATATTGTGGCTTTATTTGCTTTTATTTGCAAAATGGAGTGAAAATTTTGATCCTAAAATCTTAGTCTTGCCCTGTGTAAACCATGAAGATATCACTTTTTGAGCTAGCCTTTTTAGCATGCAACATTTTTTATCATTTTTCACTCCCTTGGTCTTATACCTGAGAAAACAGGCCATGATCCCAACTTTTAATTTCAAGTTTACCTATACCATTACAGTGTTAATACTGCTATATTTGCAAGGTTTCTTTCCATTATTGCACAACATAGAGCAGGAATTAAAGAATGTGTTTTTGCAGTGTACACATTTTCTGTTACAGTTCTATTACAGGACGGACATCCTGACCATGTTTTATGATGCTCTATTTTCCATACCCTTATTATACAATTTACTGTGCACAGTACGGTAGGTCTGAATTCAAATGAGTAATGATATTTAGATTTTTTCTGATAGCTGAACAACTAGCTTCATAGCTTTCCTTAATTCATTTTCTGTGTAATTCGTGTATATAAATATAGTATCTTATAGTCTTCCCTAATATCGCGCCAATGTACAGGGTTTATCAGTTGTGACTAATGGATTTATTAATGGATAATCACTTACTATTTTTTTACAGATCAGTTATGGGCTTTTAAACAAGAACAACTTGGTTTTACAGGTTATTCAAAATGCATTTATTAGGAACATGTGCAGCTGCAGACTAGATGGATTAAAATGTGTCAAAATGCATCAGCAGTGGTGTATTGCAGGGTCTGCATACCCACTTCTAAATCCCCTGATGTGCGTCGTGCAGTAGTATTCTGCAAGCCTCATTTTTCTAGAATAGCAAAAGGCATAAGTAAGAAATAAAAAATAGTTCACTCAAAATATATATATATTCTGCATAACCTGTCTCACCTGTCTCGGCCAGTATTCATGCAAAATCTGCTCCTCTTCTGTACTTAATGTTAATTTTTATACAAATCATTAGTGCATGAAGTCAAGCTGCAAAAGTTAGGTAACAATCAGCAAACACTTCTGGCTTAATTTACTTAAATGGACCTTTACATGTCCCTGTTTATGACACATGGCGTTTTTGTTAACAATACAACTCGGTTACTTTTCATTCTTGTGTGTAATAGTTTGTAACGACGGCTGAATAACATCACTGAAGTGGGAATATTTCTACACAGGAGAGAGAGCAACCATCTTGCTTCCACATTATTGAGTTAAGTTAGCCCCTAACTGACTTTAGCTTTAAGGTTACCGTTAGCTGGCCAAGAACGGTTGACCGCACTGATTGGAAGCGAATGTGTTTGTAAGTGGTCGGCTTCAATCTGTCGGTAACAGGAGCTGAGTGTTACAATTAGCCCGCGGTCTTCTCTACTGGAGCTGAAATAACAAGGGCAACAAACAAACGGGGTAATGGCTTTACTTTCGACAACTCATTGCTTAGAGAAAGTATTGGTGTAATTTAATAACGTTAACGCGTCCCCACCCACCCCCGTATGCCCAACCTCCGGCCCAGTTTTGCCGGTTTCAGCGCTCGGCCCCCGTCATGTCGTTATGCCCGAGTATTGGTTGCAAATTATGCAGATTTCTGGACGTCGACGGAGGAGGGCTGGAGGCCGGGCCAGCGGAATGCTACGTGTCTTGGAAGTCCCTTTTTAAAACCCCCTCGTCGTCTTCGGTTACCGTAACCAAAAGTTTGTAGGCTACAACTCGAGCGAGCTAGACTCCCCGCCTCCATCCAGGCCTCTGTGTGTCCCAGCCCCGGTGTTCAGCGGTCGAGCGAAATGTCCGGAGTGAAAAAGCTGCGTACGGTAAGTACTGAAGATGTGGGGAGAGGGAGACGTCTGAAATTCAAGCTGTCATCAAATTCGTCTTTAAAATATGTGTGTGTCAAAAGTGCAGCGAAGTGTGTGTGTGTGTGTGTGAGTGTGAACTGTTAGCGCCCGCTATGTGGAAAAACTCCTCCAAAGTGTGTGTTAAATAAAATGTCTTGTTAATATAACGTTACTTGTTGTCGATACTGTTACTCACTGAGGTCTTGGTGCTATGTTACAGAAAAAGTGAAAAGTAAGATCCAACAGTTCGACTCTTTTCCGTCAAAGTAACCCTGGATTGCTGCTTTAAAAGCTATGTTTTTTTTTTAGTTTTACTGTAACTACCAGGTGTGATGGTTACAGCCTTGACTCTGAATAGGCCGGTTGTTGTAGTAACGTATCCATGTCAATCTGGCCCATTCATAACGCTGGGTGTCTTGTGAGGGGGGGTGGGAGGGGTCGGGGGGAGAAAGAAGCCACTGTGAGACTGCAGGCTGATGGTGCACAGGAATGCCGCTGACTCGGAGAACATAGGTGGAGTCTTTAAAAGAAAGAATAATCAGAAGTCAGTACCAGGCGTTGTAAGTTCACAAAGTATTCCCAAATGTTGTCCCTAAAAGCTGCATTGTGTAGATACCACCACTTAAGGTGTGCACTATTACAGACAGTGTGTGACACTGGTCCCAGTGGATAACATAGGTGGAGTCTTTGAAACAAAGAATAGCTAGAGGCCAGTAATATACCATACACTGTCAGGTTACAAGGTGTCTTTTTTGTCCCTTGGAGCTGCATTTTGTAGACACACCACTCAGTACATGCACTATTGCAAACAGTGAGTGACACAGATTCTACTATGTAGATTAGGTAGGTGGAGTCATCAAGAGAAAGACTAGCCAGATGTCAGGATAGGATAGGTTGTAAGGTCCCAGGTATTTCTTTTTGTCCCTTAAAGCTGTATTTGTGCAGTTGTGTGTTGCAGACAGTGTGGGACACTACTTCCTCTCTTTAAACTAGGATAAAGCTGAGTATCAGCAACTACTTCGGTAACTGAAATGTTTCGGTCACTTTTGAAGCAAAAATGTGAAACGTCTGCGGATTCCAGTTTCTTAAATGTGAGTGTTTGCTGCTTTTTTCTTTTTTATACGATTGTATAATATATCTGAGTTTAGATTATCGATTGGACAGAACAATCAATTTAAATATGTGAAGTATTTTCTGATGTTTTATAGACAAACTGAGGAATTAATAGACTAATCAATGATGGAAACGCTCATTCGTTGCAGCCCTAAAATCACATGTGATTTAATGCATACTGTGATTTGAGTTAAATTTACCCAAAGTGTTAGTGTTACTAATACTTTGACAAAATGCCATTACTATTTCCACTATTGCACTTATTGCACTTCAGTTGAGACATTTCAGAACACTGTCATAGTTTTATCTATTGTGATTTCCTGAGAAACAGGATGTTAGCTGAACTTGGAGAATGAGAAAAAGAGTTACATAAGGTCCTCTGTATATATCTAAATCTATAATAACAAGAGTTTATAGCGCATTTCTTTCACAGGAATGCAGTTCAAAGGGCTTTTCAATGGCACACTTGAATGTAAAAGCAAGTGAAATGAAACAAGTGAAGAAACAAATGAAAAAATGGATTAAAGTGAAGTAAGATTAATAATAGAAAAATAACTTAAGATTTTGGATAAAATCCTGTTCAAGGAGAGTTGTCTTGAAGTTTTTTCCTAAATAAATCCAGATGTTATGAAGTGCCATCATTTTCAGCACACAGAAAATACATCATGTTCCCATGACTGTTGAAAGGAAGGAAGAGGGGATAAGGAGCAGTGTGTTGGCAGTCTGATGGAAGGAGAGAGGGTGTCTCCTATGTTTTGAAGAATAGTGCTGTTTGTCTACGGCTCCCTCACCTTGCGAGGGTGTGTACAGGGGTAGGCTACGTGTCATTTGGGGAAGATTACGCTCATCATTAGAGCATGTAAAGTATATATTTGTACTGTGGTGAGTCGGAGCTGGAGGTACTTTACACACGTCACACTTTATTAACAAAATGACTAAATCTTTCGTCAAACTAAGTCATATCTGGTATGATTTCTATTTTTTAGTTCCAGCAATGCCCAAAACAGTTATTTATAAACCCAGCCAATGTATGTATCCCCTCCTCTAGTAATACAACCAGAAAGTATAACTTTATGTGATGCTCTTCTCACATTCTTGATTAAAACACACGTTTATGTGTGATGTGTCATCGATTTTTTTTACAGTCATGGCTGTGTTTGCTGAAGAGGGGCTTTTTTAAGACTTTAAGGCTTCTTGTCAGGTGGAGGCTGAAACCTTGCAAGGGTCTATTCAGATTATGTGCATGGGGGTAGTGACTGAGAGGAAGGGGCGGGGGGGGGTGAGTACGCAAAAAGTGAAGCCATGGGATGGATGTAGGGAAGAAGGGAGAGTGGGTGCAGAGGGCGAACGTGTGGGCATGAGCACTGCCACATCATCGCTGGGCTGCAGGCAGCACACTGGACACATTGTCCAGTCAGTCGTCCTCCTCCCTTCATCCCTTCCATGCCTCCCTCCTCTTCCCCTCCCCTCTAGAAGTCAATACAGCCCCATTTATCCGCAGCAGGATCCACACAGTCCCTTTGGACAGGGTGTGTAAAACCAGTTAGTATGCTAAACTGAGTGCTAATCACGCCATGACTTGCCATGACAATGAGCAAGGTATATGCAGGGTTTTAAAAAGTATCAAAGTTTATAAATCAATTCAGCAAAAATTCAGGCTGTTGAAAAGTATTCAATTGTCTTATTCGCTATTTTCTGAGGTATTACATTTTGTATATTTAACCAAAGAGGTTAAAAAGGTCTGGGTAGTTTATTTATGGAATCCTGCTAGATTTGGCATCATCTGAAAAGGACAACTATTAGTGCACTCACTAAACTACCAAATGGTTGAAGGACAAGTAATTTGAACCATGACAGGGACATGAGACGTACTGTTCTGTGTCGGAAGTGTCACCTCAGTGAGGATTAATGCTCCCACATGTTAAATACGAGCAACAAAACACATTTTTGGCCCTTACTTGTGACCATATTTCACAATTTATCTGACAACTTCTGACTCAGAACAACGTTGACAACAAATTTTTTGGTCATAACTCAAGATTTGATGCAATATTTATGACAAATTTCACACAAATGTTTAATGGTTTACAACAATGAAGCGATGACATTTAGCAGAACAGACAAAGTGGAAGTGGTGTGTGTGTTGCATAACCCAGTTAACATGATCCGTGCATTTAGATGGCCACCACTCACATCCTGTTAATTATAATAGATAATTCCCCAGAACCCCTTTAGCTTTCCCCATTCTGAGCCTGTGTTCCTCTATCTTAGGATCTCAACAGGTCAACCAACGTGGTGTACCAGGCCCACCATGTCAGCCGGAGCAAGAGAGGGCAGGTCGTGGGTACCAGGGGAGGCTTCAGAGGCTGTACCATTTGGCTCACCGGTAAATCTCGATAGTCTTATATGATATCCACATGTTGGTCATGAGGTTTAATCTGATACGGTCTATTTTGAAAACAGTGCCTCGTTCAACCTGCCCTCATGCTGATATGTCTTATCCCGTTCTCCCTCTAGGTTTGTCTGGTGCCGGTAAGACTACCATCAGCTTTGCCTTGGAAGAGTATCTTGTGTCCCATGCTATCCCTTGCTACTCACTGGACGGAGACAACATTCGCCATGGCCTGAACAAGAATCTGGGCTTCTCTGCCGAAGACCGCGAGGAGAACATCCGTCGTATTGCTGAGGTGGCCAAACTGTTTGCAGATGCCGGGCTGGTGTGCGTCACCAGTTTCATCTCTCCTTTCAGCAAGGTCAGAAAACAGTTACAATCATTGTTCAGGTGCATATCTGTTCATTAAAATACCAGGAAACATTAAATAATGCAGCTTCATACCAAATATCTTCAAAAGCACCAGCAGTGTGGAAGACACTGTATTTAAATTAAATATATGTATACTATTTTTCTTCCACAGGATCGTGAGGAGGCGAAGAAGATCCATGCAAGTGCCGGTCTGCCATTTTTCGAGGTGTTTATTCACGCTCCTCTGGAGGTGTGTGAGAGCAGGGATGTAAAAGGGCTTTACAAGAAGGCTCGCGCTGGAGAGATCAAAGGTCTGTTGGACAGTTTTCACCTCAGCAAGCTCGATCCTAATTTTGTGCATGCTGAGTCATACAAGTAATGCCAAGAACTTTCTCCAACCACAGGGTGGTTCCCTGTTGTGGTTTTACAGTGTGGTATTCAAGTAAAAAATTCTGTTTCAGTGACATGGTTTTTACATTTGTTGCCAGGTTTCACTGGGATTGACTCAGATTATGAGCGTCCTGAGGTTCCAGATCTCGTACTGAAAACTGGAGAGCTCTCAGTGAATGAATGCCTCCACCAGGTGTTGGAGCTGCTCAGGGACCAGGTGGGTGGAACATATTTGGCCTTTCTGCTGCATTGTACTGTGTATGTTGTATCACACACAGGCCTTCATCATCCATCATACATGTCAAATACAAATACCTTTAAGTCTGCCGGTACACGGAATAATCTGTCCCTATTTAAACAAGAAGCTTATGTCACAAAGCAAGCTCCATCCAGGCAGGGAAGGGCTATGCTTACTGGCCTCCTAAAAACCAAACACTGAAACAATGATGATCGTAGTCTTCTTTTTCAATTCTGGATTTTCCAGTCCAGTGCTGAAGACTTTCATATTGAAGGGGATTGTAACAGATGTGCTCACAGAGTGCATATAGGTTTAATGTTGGTTCTGCTGCCAAGCAAGCTTTGCTGAAGGAGCTTTTGCTGATAAAGTAGAGCGTAAACACAAGCTTTTTATTGACCAGTTACTTAGGCATAGGTGAATTACTTTTAAATACAATACTTATATGTCAGCATGACTTTGTAAAAAGATTTTCATAAGTTAATGTACCCGTGTGTAGGATTTAGTGGCATCTAGTGGTGTAATTGCAGATCACAACTCCCTGACTTCACCTTCCCCCTCCAAACACAAATGGGAGACTGTGGTGGCTGCACTAATGTGCACTAATGAAAACATACCTATGAATATTATATTACATTTCTGCCATTAAATCCTAAAATATTACACACTGGACTTTTAATTGCACTGCTTAATAAATGCCCAAAGGCAAACTGTGTCAGTCTGTGCATATATGCCTTGTTCACTGGACAAACCAAGCTGTGTCTGATTTAAGTGACAAAGTGATGGCATGTTCACGATCTCTGGAGATGTTTTAAGTAAATAATAAAAACTTTGAACACTGGGAATGAAGGAGAGGCACAGACGACCATGACAAAACTTGCTTCAGGACAGATTAAGTGTTCAACTTAATTTAATATGGAAATATGCAAACCTGAAAAAAGTGTGTTTACCAACCCACAAATGTTTGTATAAAAGACCTCAAATTAAGTAGCTACAGCAGTTTTCATTCAATATTATCTTTAAATGTAATATACATTAGTACATTATCATAGAGCTACAACAATTAGTCTATTATTTAATAAGTCATCAAAATCAAACAAATTTTGATAATCAATGAATTGTTAAAGTCGTTTTTCAAGCAAAAATGCTGATTATCTTCTGGTTCCTGATTCTCGAATTAGAATTTACTACTTTCTTTGTGAGATGATGGTAATGAAATATATTTGGGTTTGAGCTGTTGGTTGAACAATACAAGCAATTTGAAGATTTTATAGACCAAACAAGACTGTCAAGAAATGAATCATCAGATTAACTGATAATGAAAATCCTAACATAATATTAATATTCCCTTTTTCTCCTTGTATATAGAATATCGTACCAAGCGGGATCATGGAGGAGCTCAATGAACTCTTTGTTCCAGAGAACAAGCTGAATCTTGCTGTGGCTAACGCACACACACTTCCCACCATCAGCATCACCAAGGTAACCCACCTCTCCAGTGTATGGACTTCTTTTTTATCACACAGCAAATGGGCAAGGGGTCAATACTAGACATGGCAGAGAGCCGCCCATGATGAGCCCATAAACACTCCCCACTGTTTTGACTCTTCCCTGGGTACTAATAAAGACATAAAAGCCTACCAGGCATACAGCAGTGTGCTCCTCCTGTCAAATTACCATTCAGGTTAATTCCCTGGAGCTCAATGAAGATTTCTACTAAAAGAAGAATAGCAGTTTTATTTTCTTCTAGAATTTAGAGCAATATACCTAGACTTCTAGTAAATGGCGACACATTTTTGTCAGCTTTTTACTTCAACCTTGTGTATGCACAGATACTTTCTTTTTAATTGTATCTTCTCAGTGGGCTACTCAAATGGTTATTTCACACTTTAATGGCGTGTTATGTTTTCAAAGAAGTTACACAGTCAAAGTTATATATTCCTTCAGTCAAAAATGTTCAGTGGACTTGTTGAGCTACCCTTTTTTCAAGCTGCAATGTGGAGAAAGAAACACAAAATGATGGACATGTACTAATGCAGGAATATAGTAGTCTTCAATATGATGAACTGATGAAATCTGTTTATTTAGAAGATTTATGAGTTGTTTCTCACTAAATAAAACTGTAATAATTGTGGTAAAAGCCAGATCATGAAAAAAAAACTAATGATGTCACACATAATAACCTGCAATCACATCTAGGAATCCTTTATCAAAATGACACATACTTCTGCATTATTCAGAGATTCCACTACAACTGTTGTTTTTTTTAAACAAGTTTTTGTTTGTTTTGTTTTCATTGTTTTTATCCCTTCCGTTTATTCATTGTTTTGGGTTTTTGCTGTTTTCTTGTTTTCTTTCGCATATGTAAACCCTGTCTTTGTTCTGGGGTGGCGACACCTTGTCTGCTAATACACAATGTGGTTAAATACAAAACAAAAAACAAAGGAAGATAAAAAGAAAGGCAGTTCATGAAGAAAATACAATTACACCATGTTGTCTCAGACCATGTTGTCATGGTTTAGTGAGGCTGATGGCAAACTAATGTTACTAACTAATGTTAGCAAAATACCAGCTAACTAACTGACTAACGATGTGCAAGCGTTGTAGCTAGCACTTTGCTAACATTGACTAGCTAAGTTAAGATGTGATATATATATTTCGCTTTTAACCATCTTCAAAATGTGGTTGTCTCTTCAACATAGACGAGCCTGGCACATAGCATATCTAAGTACAGGAGAAAGTTGAGTGAGGTTCTGACTGAGGCTCGCTCTACTGTTATTGGAGCACAGAGCAATAATGGACTTAGGAGGAGTCAATTCTTGTTGTCAAAAACTTGTTGATTGGTCGAAGTTAAATCCATGGCTTTCCTGAAGTGGAAATATTGTCATTCAGTCCTGCTGTTTATAATAAGTACTATTTCTTTATCCACAGTTGGATCTACAGTGGGTGCAGGTTTTGGCAGAGGGCTGGGCTAGCCCTCTGAGGGGCTTCATGAGAGAGAGAGAGTTCCTCCAGGTCTTACACTTTGGCAACCTGCTGGATGGTGAGAGAAGACCACACGTTCATATTTACTCTTCTTATAACCTACCAGGACTTTATCTCTATGATATTCTGTTCTAAAAGGCCTGATAGTGATAGTTCAAACTGGTCACGGTGCAATTTATTTTAAAATAAGACAAAACTGTATACGAACAAATTAAAATATAAAAGACTCTTTTTGATGACTTTTATTTTGAAATATAACAGCCTATTTTCCAAACAGAATCATCCAGTCCCACCTAAACACAGTTTAACACAGACAGAGTTGCTTTCTTTGATATAACTCAAAAAATAAAAAAAGAGATGATATAATACGTAATATAACATTCACATGGAAATCTATATCAATATACATGTCACAATGAAGTATTTTTCTGTCCTGTCACACATCATATATGACATATGGCAGTTGACATTAATGTTCCAGACAAAAACAAATCATTGCTGGAAACCACATACTGTACATGTTCCTAAGAAACGGTAAAATGTGTTTTACACAGACTCACAACACAACAGAAAAAGAATATAAACTCTAACACAGTTGTACAGATATTATGAAAATGTGTCAGTTTGATAGAGTTTCATTATTTCTGCATCTTCCAACAAAACAGATATGTTTTTTTCGTTTTACTTTCTAAGATCATGATATATAGGACAATATAAAACATGCTTATCTTTTTCTGTCTCATTTAACTCACATAACTAAGAAATCCAAGCCTGTTCTTCAAAACCATAAAAACATCCAGTTTCCAGATGTAATGGTAAGATACCACACAGCAACATTTTCTGAAAAACAAATCAGATAATATTTAATCAAACCAAAATGAACTTTATCTTTCAAAATGAATCCTTCCTCATACCTGCTTTTTAATATTAAGTGTGCATCTAGTCACCAGCCTGTTTCACAGCCAGCCCAAAATACATCACAGCCCGCTGAGATCACTGGCTGAGATCACTGGCTGAGATCACTGGCTGAGATCACTGGCTGAGATCACTGGCTGAGATCACTGGTTGAGATCACTGGTTGAGATCACTGCATCCTCTTCTGTCTTAGGTGGAGCCATCAACTTGTCTGTTCCCATCGTCCTGCCTGTTAGCACTGAGACCAAGCAGGAGCTGGACGGCTGTGCGGCTGTAGCTCTTGAGTACCAGGGTTCGCGTGTGGCTATTCTCAGGAACCCAGAGTTCTATGAACACCGTAAGGAGGAACGCTGTGCCAGACAGTGGGGCACCACTTGTCCACAGCACCCTTACATTAAGGTAATAAGGCATTCATCAAATGTCTTCGACACACACAGTTATAATTTCAGTGTCTACCACGTGATTGCACTGCAGACAGTAAAATCCTCTGGTATCTACATCATTGTTTACTTTCACTGTGTCAATATTGAACTCACTCTGTTTTTATTCTCTGGCAAACAAAACATTAATCAGGCCCCAGAAAAATCTTACATCATTCAACTCAATTAAAATGATTTGACCTAAATGTTAATACTAATGGTAGTTAAATAACTGGTATTCTCTGTTCATCATCTTACCGTGCAGATGGTTATGGAGGGAGGTGATTGGCTGGTAGGTGGTGATCTGGAGGTGCTGGAGCGAATCAAATGGAGCGATGGACTTGACCAGTACCGCCTTACGCCAAAGGAGCTCAAGCAGAAGTTCAAAGACATGAAAGCAGGTAAGAAAAACTCAATTATGTACAAAACTACAGTAACAATCAGGGGACACACGATAGCATACCAGTTGTTGTAAGTAGTTGCTGTCACTGCGGTGACACTTGCGATTAACACCATTCCATAAATATGATATCCATCACAGCTGGTGACAAAATAAACAAACATGAAAGCAATGTATTTAGCAGTGCATCATTTGTCTTTCAGAAGAACTTGACAAAGGACCAGATGAAAAAATAAAATGGTAAATGGTCTTAAAGCTGCATGGTGTTGTTTGTGATCTGTGTTCAGTGACCCATGGAGACATAAAGTATCTCTCTGAAAACAACAGTGAAATGTGAGCACCTGTTTTTACTCTCACCTACTTTGACATGAATGCTGTGTTCAAGATTGTCAAATATATATCTCAAACACAACACAGTATGTATTTTGGTAATTTTTTGTTTTCTTTGCATTCTTTGCTCCCCGATGGTCCTACCCTGAGTATCATTGCTGGTGCAAGCATGTTGTGGTGCGCACTTAACAGATTAGGCTGACAATTTTCTGTATTCTTGTATTGTTCATTAATTTAATGAAAAGACCAAAACCAACAACGTGTTAGTCCGTCTCTCAGTACTTTCCAACAACTGGAAACCAATGGAGCTCTGTGGCATAGAGGAATTAACTCTATCAGGTTTTGCTATACCAACGCTCAAAATTAAGGATGTCCTGTTGTCCAGGGCACAATAAAAATAGCACCTGGTACACAAAGATACAGTGTCTGGGACAATACAATAATTTTGAATGTAATCTTTATTGTTAGGTGTTCAAATTTGAAAAATGTGTGGTGGCACTGGCACAAGCTCTTCGCTACATGACACACTCTTACACACAGTCATTCCTAGAGAGGGCTAGTGTTGCCAAATCCAGCGACTTGTTAGATCCTCTTAGCAACTTTATTTCTAAAAAGCAACGGGCAACAAATGTAGGAATTTTTTCCATGTTACAATGTATGTATATATCTTTTCAAGCCGCTGTATTGTCAGTGTCAAATGTCTCTTTTGTGTTTTCATGTTGTGTTTGTGGTGTTTTCTCCTGATGTTATGTGTAGCAACAGATTGTAGCATTGTGCCCAAGACAAATTCGCTCTTGGGGACAATAAGGTTTACTCTACTCTACTATAATAACATGAAAACAAACAACTGAGTTGCTATAGTGACTAGTTAGAATTCCAAGCTGACAAAATAATAATGTGATTTTGACATGGTCATTTTAATTTAAGATATCTACAAACTGATGGTTATTTGTCTCTTTTGTTTGTGGTACTTTGTATAATGTGTTATAATGTGCTGTATTATACTCATTGTGTACAGAGTCTATGTAGGTCTGTTGTGTGTGTGTGTGTGTGTGTGTGTGGGTGGTGTGTGGTGGGTGTCCTTGTGTCTAGGCAGAGAAATCCAGAGCACATTAATTTGATTGTATTTCAAATACACAAGACAGTAAGGTTGAACTTGATGAAATGTTAAAAGGGCTTTCTGTAGGCCGTTGGTAGGTTTGGCGTGCTGGGTTCGTTTAACCATATCGGCCACTTATTCTTTCCTAATCTTTGGATTATGGTGTTCCCAAAGTTTATATGTCAATAGTTTGTTTGCGCTTGTAAATATTTACATAGGTAATCTGATCTTCTCCCTCCCTGTTTTACTTTTAACATACAATGTCCCTGTGGTGAGTTTGTGATTATTTGTCTAATTAATAATAATGTTCAAAGTGTGTATGTGAATTTCCACCCCATGTAGCAGGATTGCATTTACACTGCAGTTTGCATTGATGCATTTATGGCTAAAAGAATAACTATAACTGATTGTGGACAAACACCTAGGGTGATTTCATTTTTTATTCAGATATAAGTGCAGGAAACAGCTAGCAGAACTTCAGTGGTGGACCAGTGGTAATGAGTTACTGAAAGAAAGTTATTAAACTATAATCATCATAGAGAATAACAAAAGAACTTCAGTTTGAGACAATGGTTGTTTGTCTGGGACAGCTGAAAGTAGAATTTAGGACCCAGAGAAAAAATGTATTTCAAGCCCTGGACACTTGGGAGGATGAATTCATTGTCGGTTTTGGCCTTTTCATGGGATTTGTTAACAATAAGAAAAATATAGACTAACAGACTTATGCTTTAAACCACAAGCAATTTTGATGCTGAATGTCCATTTGAGTTATGTGAAAGGCATTATGAGCATGTTTGCTGTGACATAAATGCACAATATCCCACACACATTTGGGACTGCACAGATCACGAAGCTCAACAGCTCCACTGTACTGTAATCCTGCTGCTATTATACTCTGATACTGCTGCTGTTACTACAAATACTCTCGTTACGTGAACCTGATTTTGTGCTCCTCCATGTTTTCCTCCTCAGATGCAATATTTGCATTCCAGCTGCGTAACCCGGTACACAACGGTCACGCCCTCCTGATGCAGGACACCAAGCGCCGTCTGCTGGATCGAGGCTACAAGAATCCGGTCCTCCTACTGCACCCACTTGGCGGGTGGACCAAAGATGACGATGTGCCTCTTGACTGGCGGATGAAGCAGCATGCTGCCGTCTTGGAGGAGGGCATTCTGGACCCAGCCAACACCATTGTCGCCATCTTCCCCTCACCCATGATGTACGCTGGACCCACAGAGGTGAGGAGTTGTGTGGGCTTATTGTTTAGTCAGAGTTTGCTATCCCTCTAGCTCTCGACCGTTCAACCATTTACCCATGACATGTATGTGTGACTGAATATTAACCTGTATGCCTCCCAATTACCTCATCAGGTTCAGTGGCACTGTAGAGCCAGAATGATTGCTGGAGCAAACTTCTACATTGTCGGCCGGGACCCTGCAGGCATGCCTCACCCGGAGACTAAACAGGACCTGTATGACCCTACCCATGGAGGCAAGGTCCTCACCATGGCCCCGGGCCTCACCTCTGTAGAGATCATCCCCTTCAGGGTAGCTGCCTACAACAAGACTAAGAAGGCTATGGACTTCTACGACAAAGAACGGTAAGTGAGGAAAGATCTATTCACTTACAACCTTCAGCATATTCTGTTGTCTACTACATATAATATATTAATATATAGGTATATCCACAAATCTATACTACGTTTTCTTTATTTTGTTTTTACTATATTATTTATTGTAAAACCTGGATTCTATTGAAATGGTTTTCCTGTGTGACGCCCAAATGCAAGGAAACTGGAGCGCATGAAAAGGATGAAGTGCAGTACTTCATTAGTGCTGCTACTTTATGTTAGGTGTGATTTTTCTGTCAGCACATTTGTTTCCAGACTTGCTGCTAAATTCTATTTCAGCATTACATCCTCCTGCACACATTCGTAGGCCCAAATCTTTTAAGCCAAAACATGAATTTCATGAAACACCATATGTGACCCCCACGCTTTATCTTGTTGGCACTGCAAGTAGACTGTAGTATCAATCTAAAGAGTTGTTGGTTTATATCCACCTGTTGGTATTTCTGTGCAGGTGTTAATTATTCGTATAATTTGCAAATATTGTAACATCGGAAGACTCTACGACACTTCTAATAACCTATCCTGCCCACTCTCTCCACACTACCCCTCCACATCCCTCACTCTCTTAGACATGCTGAGTTTGAGTTCATCTCTGGAACCAAGATGAGAAACATGGCTCGGAGCGGAGAGAACCCTCCAGATGGTTTCATGGCCCCCAAGGCCTGGAAGGTGTTGGTGGAGTACTACACCTCTCTTCAGAAGGACAAGTAATCAACGCAGCGCTCAGCTCGACAGTCAACAGCATACTGTAAAAAGATTATAGTCATTTCTTAAAGGGGGTATTTTAGGTTGATCCTTATTTTATGCATTTAAAGTGATGAATTTAGATTACTATAAATAACGAATCATTCTGGCAGGGGTGAGTGTTTTGTACAAGTCTTCACCAAATCAAAATGACTTGTCTTAAGCAGTTAAAGCATTACATTTTTACATTCCTATAATATGATTTATAAATCCACTGTATTTTATATGCATATTAACTTAAGCTATGTATTTTAATAAATTAAAGGTGACTTGAGATTCTTTTTTTATTTTCAAAGTTTAGGTGCACATCCCCAGACAGGGAAATCATTTTTGATATTCACATGTAATTATCTGAAGGATGCATTAAAAAAAAACATGTAGAGTTCACTTGTTATAGCCTTTCATGGAATTATTTGTATGACCTGAATGAAAGTGACTCGCAGTTTTTATCACTACCTACAGTGCCTATTTGTTTTACATGTATGGGTGTTGATTAATTCATCATGTTCATGTTTCATATTATCGTGAAATATAACACAGATGTTTTTAATAATGTGAAAGTGCCTTTCTCTCAAATTTCAACACTGTAAAACAGCAATTGTTGAAATTTTTTGCTGGCGTTTGCCTGAAATGTCTCTGAGATGTGTGTGATTTTATAATGTGGGAACGTGCATTCATGTAATAAAGCAGTTTTAGGAAGACAACATATTTCAAATAATGCAGTAATAAAGGAGCTTATTTGTTATTATGAATCATTGGTGACTTGCTTTATACTATTGTGTAGATGAGATACATTTTCTCATAATGCAAAGGTTTGAAACGTTTTCTTTTCAATGACATCTCTGTCCTGATTTTATCTAGCTGCCACTTGTTATGCAACATACCACACATCCACTCCTGTCTGTACAAGGTGCATACTTATCTATTGAACGTTAGAGGTCGAAGTCGACTGAGCAGAGTGGCAGTCTGGGGCTGCACAGCCAAAAGTGCAATGCTGCCATCTGCTGACAACAACTGGTACAGGAAAACACAAAAATAATAGAATAAAAAACTGGTAAGGTAAATGTATGTATACCATGTTTCTGACAGGAGGCGGGCTTCATAACTGCACTCATCATCATAACTTCACACACTGAGACCAGAGCCAGAGATAGCCCTGTGTTTCTACCTGTTGACCAAAAAACAGCCATTTTCTGTTAAATAGAGAGTGAACTAGGACTAGCAGCAGTCACAGTGAGCAGCAGAGATGTTCTTTAAAATAATCTAATATGCTGTGTGTGTGTGTGTGTGTGTGTGTGTGTGTGTGTGTGTGTGTGTGTGTGTGTGTATGTGTGTGTGTGTTTGCATTGGAAAACAGGTTTGGCTCTAGATTGGCTTTGCCAGCTAGATCTTTTATAACAGATTAAGGAGATCCTGAGACGCTTTCAAATTACACTTAAGAGATGGTTGCTGTGAACTTGAAGGACTGATTAATTTTGCCAGTCATTAAGCTGTACGGGCTTACATTGCTACGAGATGAGTGTTCTTCTATGAGGAGAACCAGTCTCCCCCTGTAAGAAGCAGATTCCTAATTAGCCTCACATGGGATCAGATCATTTAATCTGCGATGTTCCAGGTAACCCCATTTAAATCTGCTGAACTGCACCCTCAGTACTTATATAAAATCTCCAACTACTGTACATCCAACATGTCTCGTCACTGAGAAATGACCAGGATGGTTACCGGTTCTACAGGCCTAACATTCAGAATAAAGGCTAACCCCATTTTAACAACCAAAATGTGATTCTACAGGAGTCACATTTCCACTCAGGCTGACGTGCAAAGCTGCTTATGTCATGTTAATAATTGTGAAATAGTTATCACTGATTTTTATCTGAAATGGTTTGCACAGCTGTCATGTTGCATGGACATAAGTTAAGTTATGGAAGATCATGAAGCCCCTCTCATTCTGTGGCTGGTGCTCTTCGGCTACAACAGTAACAGGCCCTGCCAATGAGCCACTGAATAGAGGTACAAGGTGTGAGTTTGGCTGGTGTGACGAAAATGCATCTGTGCTGCAACTAACGGTTATTTTACTATTCTATTGATTAATCTGCAAATGAGTTTTCCAGTTAATGATTTAATGGATTAGACTAAAATATGTCCGAAAATTGGGGAAGATTACATCACTATTTCCCAGGAGTGTCAGGTGGCGTCTTCACATTGCTTGTTTTGTATGACCAACAGTCAAAAATCAAAGATATTCAAGTTACTTATCATAAAGGAACAAGACAACCAGTGAATGTTTAGGGTTGAGCAGTTGGAACCTTTTAATGAATCAATAATCAAAATGCTTGACGTTTAATTTTCTGTGAAATGACAAATTGATTAATGACTGTTTCAGGTCTAACCCAACCCTGTAAAACCCTTCCTTACATAGGCCTATTATAGTTACATCCTCATTATAAACATATTGGTTACATCTTTGTATAAAGTGTAACACAGAATAACATTATTATTATTCTTACTGACATTAATATAATACAAATATGGGCTATGAATGTATCTTTAATTTTATAATGAGTAATATATTTGTTTGTTTTTTTCACTGCTAGTGTGTGTTAATGAAAACAATTACAACGACTGTCTATGGTTAATGCCCATGCAATTAACAACGTTGTTATAATTCAGGATTGATGTGAGGAGGATGTGTGAAGATGCTGCTAACTATATTAATTTTACATTGTAAACATAATAAACGCATTATGGATTGATGGCTTGCAATGGTATGTCGTCTATAGCCTGAAATGACAGTTAAAACCGCGAAAATTGACATTATGTTGGAAACTTCCCTAATTACACACACGTGATCACTTTGACAGAAGAGAGCGTCGCATGCGGACTCACTTTATCCTTCCGCCAGAAGCAAGAAATAACTCGACAGTTGCGCTATTTAGGGTTAAAACAATTACACACATCAGTAGCTCTTCATCGGCATCTAACAGCGATTAACCATGTAAGTCAATACTGCATTTGTCGGTTTTAAAGAAACAGAGGGTCTATATAGTGAACGCGGTGGGATATTTGTTCTAAAATCCCAGCCTGCTCTACCTTCTTTTTTTCCTTCGGTGGAGGCCATGACGGGAGCCTGAGAGTTCAGCTGGAGCGAGAGGAGCGAGAAAAGAAGATGATTCCCCGGGACGGAACTGTCAAACCAATCTGTGCAGATTTCTGATCTTTGTATAGTCTATATACAGTTAAGGTGGAGCCTGTCACTTTTTTTCAGATGTGTTCTTGGCAATCAGTCGATGACAATGTTGAATCGTTAGGAGGCTTTTGGATCGAAAAAGGAGGTAGCATTAGCCATTGTTGCTAGCTAGCTGTGCTAGCTAGCTTGATAGCTAGCGAGCTAGCTACGTCTGAGTGACTGGGTACGGGGTTTCGGGAACCGGTGAGGTCTCTGTCCTCTCGTTGTCAATCGCGGCGGCTGCGATTGAGCCATCGGCGTGGACTGTGTCTGGCACCTAAAGGCTTCTCCGAGGACAACTGCATGTCTTTTATTCGGAGGTGTTTGCAAGACGAATTGCAGGATTGGGAAAGTCGGGCCTGCACGGAGGAGCAGAGCAAGGCCCGTCTTTATGATCCAGAGGAAGCCTTTCTAATCCTACCGACGGCCACGGCTAGCTCTGCTGGCTAGCACGTCTCTCCGAGGGACCTGCAAAAATTCCGAGAGCGGACCCCACTGACTGCGACATCCACGACGAGACGGCCAGTTGTAGAAAACTGTTTTTACACCATTTTGCCCCCACAGACTCCTGTCACCTGCTACAATGGCTGCGATTATAAAAGAAATGGTCAGCCGGAACAAAAGGAGATATCAAGAGGATGGGTTCGACTTGGACTTAACATGTATCCTTCCGTGTGTTTCTTATTTCCACAGCAGCCCGGGACACTGACTCGTAATGTGTAATATTTGCATTGTAGTCGGACTGGAACCAGAAATGTCAGTGGAGTAAAAGTGAGGTAGTTAGCTTCCCTGCTGCTGAGCTAACTGAGCTAGCTGGTCAGACAGCGCAGCTTTGCTGTCACCCAGTATGTTTGAAAGATGGTGGATCTGTCAGACCAGCACGCATAAATGTCACAGTCATATTATAGCTGGAACCCCCCGTTTAACTACACATTTAGTGTGTGTGTTTTTTTTTTTTAAGAAAAAGAAAAAAGACTTGGTTTCACTTGCACAGCAGTCACCCAGCGGTGGACCTAGCTTGAGGCTGTGAAATTGTTAGTGGCATTAAGTCAGAATTTATATTTTTAACCAGTTTGTGTTTGAAGGCAGGTTGATTAATATCAGCATATCTATGCAATGTTTTTTTTTTTTTGTTAATACATGTAGATGGTATAGGTTCACTTCAGGATGTGTTAGGTTTCCTGGTTTATGATGTAAGCCTCTCCTCACCTGTGTCCTCTATAGGTGAGTATTCATTAATGCATTTGAATAAGAAAAAGAAACCCCACTACCTTTTGGTGGAGTTTGAAGAATTGCTATTTCTGTCCCCTCTGCAGGACTGATTTCTCATGTGTTACCACTGATAATAGTTGACCTGGTTCCTTAGTGCTTGGTGCTTTTTTACTCGCTGGGCTGGCGATAAACTAGATTATCAACTGATGTGGTTGACCATGGCCAACTAAATGCAACCAATCTTAACATGTGACAGTGCTGAGAGTGGGTCATGGTTATAATTGTGGGGGATGTGCACATGACTTTGTGTAAGGGTCTCAAACCACCTTTTCAGCCTTTTTTGGTCCTGAGTTTGATATTTCTAGTTTCGGAGCTGAATTAAGCAGTCGGTTGTAATTCACTAGTCAGTCGACACGAGGCAAATCTGAATATCGGTGAATATCTGTGAATATCTGTGCGTTTTGAACTGTTGGTCGGACAAATCAGGATATTTTAAAGATGTTAACTTGGGCTCTGGGAAATTGTGATAGGCAGACACTTTATATACTCTGATTAATCAAGTATTTGAACAGTATTTGGCAGATTGGCAGCCCTCTCTGCTTCTGTACAGCATGTAAAAAAAAAAAATAAATTTAACCAGCCTTGGTGTATATGGACACACAGTTTTCCTCTGGTTATCATCAGCATTGGTGCGTTAATTCGATAACATTGCTCCTTTTTTGCTCTTCTAAAAGAATGGAAGTGTACAGCTGAGTGCTAGTTACTTTGATTCAATGCTGCCACTATAGTTAACACATTGAGCTGTTTCAGGAAGTACTGTCAGCTGGTACGTATGTGTGACTGCAGATGGTGAAATATGTGCACCACAATGTTTGATCTGATAGTTCTCACCTGGTTTTTTAATGTGGTAAAAACTTGTGTCATCCGTCTCGGTGGAAGGACTTTGTGTTGCGCCTCTCGCGCTTTGTGCAGGTGTAAAAGGGGCACGCCACTCAAAAGTGGCATCTTTCTTTCGGCTTGAAGTCTCCTCCTGTTCAGATGTGGGCCCTTTCGAACTATCCCTTTTATCATTTTTGGCATGGTGTCTAAAAACAATATGGGCTCTCTGCAGTTATGTAATGCAGTATCACAGTTCTGGGAATTGCCCTTAAAATAGAGTTGCCAGTGATCTTGTATCAGTGTTGCTGTCTGAGTGCTCTCTCCCTCTCTTACCCTCTCAACCCACCACCTCTCCTTTGCTCTTTTTCTTTACTACTCCCACTCTAATTCTCCCTCCCTCTGCTTGCCCCCTTTCCTCTGCTCTCCTCCTTTCCTGTCCTCCCCACCCCCTCCTCGCTCAGCGCTTGCCGGTTCCCACTCTCCCTTTTCCCCCCTCTCTCTTGCTCTCAGTTGTGGATTTGGCGTATGCATAGAGCTGAGGCAGGGCTGGCTTTAAAGAAAAGGCGTGCCTGAAACGACAGATTTTCTTTTTTTTTCTTCTTTTTTTTTTTTTTTTTTCCTCCTACTTGGAGCTTCCGTCGGGGGTCCTGTATGTGTGTATCCTCCCAGCTGCAGAGACCAAGCCCCCCATACCCTGGGCTGAGGCTCTCCTGGGAGCTCTGGAGCTTTTTAAAAACACTTAATAGTCTGACTGGGATCTCTTTGCCATTAGTTACAAGAGTAGCCCATCAAATAGCATAGAAAACCTGTATTTGGCTCCTAATTAGGTCTTTGAGGCATTAATGGACAGGATTATGGCACCGTACATATGTACCCATAGGCTACTCAGTCGTAAGCTACAGGGAAGTAGCTGGCAGTATGCAAATAATACCATAGATTTGCCTTTGGGCTTGTTGAATTCATGTATCAAGGCCTGTGTTGAGCATGCCTCAGCTACATTAGGGCACTTACTTAATTCCTCTTACAGGGTTTTATTGAAGTTTGCCTTTTTTTTTTTTTTTTTTTTTTTGTAATGTTTGAAGTTGCATTAATCTTTGTATATGCGTCTACTTGTCCTGGATTCCAACATATGAGCAGGTCTACTGATTGAACAATTGCCTGTGTGCACCATGGAAAGGGAATGTTGTGTGTTTTTGCATGTGCAGGTTACTCGCATGTGTGCACGCTAGCAAAGTTGAGGATTATGCAGAGCCAGCCGCGCTTTCTCACCAGAGTTGTCAGATGCGTGTGTCAAATTTTTCTGACCAGTTAAAAAGTGATTTTGACTCTGGAAAAATATGGTCTGCTCAGAATGAAGCAGACACATCCAATTAGAATTATTCAGCTTTTCTATTTTTGACACCGTGGCACAGGAAGTGTAAGAAATGGTTGCCCTTTAGTCAGTGGTTAAAGTGTGAAATCCCACAGCTTATGGCGACAAGCAGACTTCAGTTACAGGTAGGCGTTGCAGCCGAGCCTCAAAGACATGCATGCCAACTAAATTATTCTTTTTACTGCAACATGACACTGATGTGTGGCTTTAAGATTGTATGTATGTCACCGTATAATTGGTCACGACATTTTCCATCACTATCCTGTGCTGAAGTGCAGAGCCCCGTCCAATGATGTATGACAACTATAATGTTGCCATGTGTAGCGCGCGAGAGACAGGGTGGTGCAACCAGAAGTTAAAACTTTCAGTGAATCTGTGTGTGGTTTGTGAAGTGTCGCTTTGTGTCTTGTCCATCACCAACTGTCATAGATGCTCAGCGAATACCTCCTGCTTGAAGGGTAACTTGCAAGTTGTGACACAAAGGCTTTTTGTTTGATGGAAGGGTTTTTTTTTTTTTTTCCCCTCTACCTGCACGTCTTGATGCTGCCTGCGTCCAATCTCGCAGATATTCAAATCGGTCCGGCTGAGCGCGATACAGAGATAAGCCGAACATTTGCGATCATCCCAATATAACTTTGGGCTCTAAAAATAAATGCAGGTCAGGGAGCGGAGACTCTCCTTGTGCACCCACATGTGGGCCTGGCTTGTGCAGGAGCTCTGTTACTCCCGTCCTCTCTGCCTGCTTCTCACTGTCAAGGCCATATGTCACAACACGCTCACACGCTGATCGGGCCCTTCCTCTGCGCTCCCATCTATCCATAACTACAATCGCACCCTCATATTGACTTTGGCTGAAACTTTTCCATGCGCTGCTGCTCGTCTCTGCATTCTTGTAATTCTGCTCTAATGGCATATTCTTAAAGAGAGCAACTGCTTTCTACATAGCTGTTAAAAGCATAGGTAGGCCCTTCGAGTTAAAGATGTGGCGCCGTGTGCATCGGTAATGGTGCCTTCCATAGTCGTGCACAATGTACATTTCCTTGACTCCTGCCTGAACAGATATCTACCCAAACATCATTGCTATGGGCTTTCCAGCAGAGAGACTTGAAGGCGTGTACAGAAACAATATAGACGATGTAGTACGGTGAGTTGGGTTTTCTTCTGCTTCTGACATGTGATCATAGAAAAGGGGAAATATAAGAAGAGCATGTTATTATGGAGTATGTGTGTTTGTTGATCTCATATCCATCTAATAAATCTCTCTCTGGTTGTGTTCTCTCCTGCCAACAGGTTTCTGGATTCAAAACATAAAAACCATTACAAAATCTACAACCTGTAAGTGTTCCACATGTACCTGAAATGCTCTTTGTCTACTTAATAACTTCCTCTGTATGTTCACTAACTGCATTTTGTTCTTCCCATTTCAGCTGCGCAGAAAGACACTACGATGCTGCCAAATTTAACTGCAGAGGTAGGATGCTTCAGATGTCCTATAGACGCTTATCCCTTTTTAAAAAAAAAAATAAAACTCATCTCACAAAATGTCCACTGTGTCTTCCTCCCTGCCTTGTCTCCTCTGACCTGTCCACAACCCCCCCCCCTCTCTCTCTCTCTCTCTCTCTCTCTCTCTCTCTCTCTCTCTCTCTCTCTCTCTCTCTCTCTCTCTCTCTCTCTCTCTCTCTCTCTCTCTCTGTGTGTGTGTGTGGTTACAACTTTGCGTGGGCCCGCATCCCGTCACGCATCAGTTGCACAGTACCCCTTCGAAGACCACAACCCTCCTCAGCTGGAGCTAATTAAGCCGTTCTGCGAAGACCTGGACCATTGGCTCAGCGAGGATGACAATCACGTGGCGGCCATCCACTGTAAGGCCGGGAAGGGCCGCACTGGAGTCATGATATGCGCCTATCTCCTCCATCGCGGCAAATTCCTGGAGGCCCAAGAAGCGCTCGACTTTTACGGTGAAGTCAGGACACGGGACAAGAAGGTGAGATATTGATCTGAGACCACACGTTGCACAGTAAAGACTCGCTTCTAATTATTTTCATTATTGATAAGTCTGCAGATTAATTTCAAAAGCTGCCGAGATCCAGTTTACAATGATAAAACAGAGAAAAGCTGAAAATACTGGTTAGTCCCAGAAAATATTTGGTATTTTTTGCTTGGAAAGTGATTTTTGGCGACTTTTAATTCTTCAGTTTCAGCTGTATTTGCAAAGACTTGAACACACACACAGAAAAAAGAACGTCATTTGTACCTTCGGGATCTCTAAACAAGGTTTTCTGTTTCAGGGAGTAACGATCCCGAGCCAGCGCCGCTATGTCTACTACTACAGCTACCTACTGAAGAACCAGCTAGAGTACAAGCCGGTGGCGCTCCTCTTCCACAAAATGGTGTTCGAGACTCTCCCGATGTTCAGCGGGGGCACCTGCAGTGAGTCACGCTCATGTTCAACTTTAACTCCAAACTAGGGCGTAGGCACGCATAGCGCTGTTCAAACGGAACGAGAGCCTTGGATGTGTTGTGCACTGTAGGGCTCACCCACGCTACAGTTTAGCACCATAGAACAAGAGAGGGCCGTCTGTGGTGGAGTTGAGTCGTCCTGCGCCGGGGTTTTAAAACCGAATCGAGTGTGGTTGGGTTCACTGCAGTATTTTTGGACTTAACGGACAGGTTCTTCTTGATGAAGTCCTCTTGTTGCTGCTTATAACGAGGCCAACTTAATCTCTGGCCGTTTACAAAAAAAATGGAATCAGATCCCCTCTGTCATAATAGGAATGTTATTCTGTCGCTTAAAAACAAGCACAAGAAAAGAAATTGATTGCCTTCTAAGAATTTCATCTGAGATATTTGAGCTGTAATTTTTAACTTTAAATCTGCCTCAGAAGGATTTCCTTCATGGAAATCAGGGCTCTGTGTGCTTTTAAGTTGTTCATGTGCACAGTATTCAGAGGAATTACAATATGCACTGTTTGAACAGTAGAGCAGTTTGAGGGAAGTGGACTCACACTCCAGGACAGTAAAAGCTACATGTGCATGGATTTTATATAGGAAGTAACTAAAGGTCAGTCAAGGAATTTAATATTTTGATCCGTGATGATCTTTTTTTGCATGCAATAGCACAGAAGTGTTGATAGGTCACTGTAGTTAAGTGTCAGTCTATTTACATATCACTGCATGTTTGCTCGGAGCGTGAGTGGTATGACTTTGTTGTAAAGTGGTGTGTATGCAAACAGTGGCACTTGTTGTCCCCTCCGATCAGTGGCAGAGTAACGCGCACGCAAAGCACTCGGACTCAGAATACCACATCCATAGTGATTTTAGCTTCCCACATCCTCGAGCATTAGATTTACTGTTTGGTAGACCTTTGGTACAGTTTATAAGCAGATAATGACGCTTTTCCACCTTTCAGCAGGAATGTGTTTGTATTGTCCATGTCCATATTTTGATTTCTGTGTATTTTACTGTTTATAGGAATAGTTCTTAGTGGTTAAATAGTTGTCTGTGGTCATTTAATCCTGTTTTTCTGCTCAAACGTATCGGAGTCACACAATGTTATGCTTTTCTTGTATCTGAATTTGTCCATTTTTTAACTAACGGTCAGAAAAAGTGCCTCTTCTTTCTTAATTTCTTTGGCTTTGTAAAACCTAACACCTCACTGATGCCCTTCTCTTTCCTTCTAACTCTCACATTATTAAAAAAAAGGCCCTATTCTGAGATTGACGTCTTGATACATGTACACACATATCACCCTTTTCTGGCCTCGGGTTTGATCTTTACCTCAGCGGTGAATGAAGAGAAAGCTAGTTTGATCATTCTGTTAAAAATAACTCGACATCACACATTTCTCTTTGTCAAATTCACCAAAGAAAACTGATGTTTTGTGGTCGCTTGTGATCGTCAGCAGTCTCAAGTTCCCCCTTTCCTCCTTCCCCTTTGTGTCACAACACACCAGGTCGAATGTTTAAGATGTGCACCTCCACTTTGAAGCCTCGTACTGTATGTTGTTTGTAAGAAAAGCTATGTAGATATAAATATCTGTAAATATTTGTGTAGAGCTCTTGTGTTTGTTCCTGCTGTGCTGTCAAGGCCCTGACAGGCCAGCCAGGCCCTGTTTTGTGATAATCTCCTTGTTTCTCTCTAAGGGGACAGTACCGTTAAAAACAGGAGCGAGCCGACCCCTCAGGGCTTCAAGAAAGGGAATTGGCATTGGGGTAAATGAGCCTTTCATCCATTATTATTATTATTATTATTTCACTCATTTGCTTTTATATGGCCCCAGAGATCCACCAGGAAGGAGCAGTCTGAGGTAGACATGTTGCCTAGCAGGATAGGACTAGCTTACAGGCATGATGATGTCATCTCCAACTCTACCCCACCCTGACAGGAAGAAGGAAGGTTAAGAATTCTTGTGTATGCAACTTGTTGCGCTGGTCCAAGACCAAACCGTGACTGTCTATCAGAATAGGGTCCTGTGTCTCTGGTTCTGGGTCTCTTTGGGTGTTATATTTTGTGATCTGTTACTTTCCCTCGCTCCTCATTAATTTTAATATAATGCTTTGCACTTACTTAGTGGGGGAGGTGGTGGTGGTGGTGGTGGTGCTGTGTTTTTTTTTTTTTTTTTGCCAAACACGTAATACAACTGGTATTCCTGTCTTGCTGTCTTGATTCACTCCTCTGTCACTCACACTTGTTTCGTTATTTTTGTTTTTCTCTTCCCCTCACAAATCTCACAATCGTGTCTCCCCTTCCCCTCCTCCCTGTGCAACGTCGACACCCTTTGCAGATCCCCAGTTTGTGGTGTACCAGCTGAAAGTGAAGATTCACACATCGAACCCCACTCACACGCGGCGTGAGGACAAGCACATGTTTTTTGAATTCCCCCAGCCGCTGCCAGTTTGCGGAGACATCAAAGTGGAGTTCTTCCATAAACAGAATAAGATGATGAAGAAGGTTAGTTGTGTTTGGTGTGTGTGTTTATTGCAGCTTACTTTGCTTGGTATTTGTCACTGACAAATTTCTGTTGGTCATTAAGAGCTTATTTCAGCTGTTGATTGTTTTGACCTCCGCTAGGTCAAAGAACAATCGGTAGGCATTTGAGTAAGCGTTTTCTCACTTAGCTGTGTGCCAGCAATTAACGAATAAGACTGGTGGCATTCTGTATTTTATTTTTATTGCCAACAAATCCCATGAAAAGACAAAAACCAAAAATGCATTTTAAAAAAAATTTTTTTTTTGCATGTTACCAAAGTCGGATAATAGCTTATTCCTCTGTGCTGTAGAGCGCTTCTTGTCGTCCAAAAACTATTAAAAACACATTAATGAGCCACACTGTCGGACTGGTTGACAAGTTCCTTCATTACCATGAGCACAGGCACTGTGGTTTATTTTGAGTTGATCCAGCATTCACCGCCTTGCTGCCATAAATACTTACAAAATGAATGCGTATTAATCCACGGCTGAAAATAGTCCCCAACGAATGCACTGTTTACTCCTCTTTGAGTAATGTTTGCTAAAAACTACAGTGCCTAAAGGCTCAGTAATTTCCTAAAACAGCTTGGGTGTGTTTTTAAAAACTGCTCACAAATATAGTTCCATTTTTGTTTTTAAAACGATTCCTAAAGATTCACATCTTCAGTAGAAACAAATGGGTTTGCCTGAGAGGCACAGATGGAGTGGGGAAGTCGGAAAGTACGGAGACAGACTAACACATTTTGTTGATGTAGGTTTTTTTTATGAGATTTGTTAACAATAAAGAAAAAAACTTGTAATAATGCTTGTCTTTTGAGCTCATAAACAAATGAAATCAAAAGTTTAATTTCACGTCTCCTCTCTCATCGCCCCTGCAGGACAAAATGTTCCACTTCTGGGTGAACACCTTCTTCATCCCTGGACCAGAGGAGAGCGTGGACAAGATGGAAAACGGGGCGGTGAACAACGCAGACAACCAGCAGGGTGTACCGGCACCGGGCCAAGGCCAGCCGCAGAGCGCCGAGTGCAGGGACAGCTGCAGGGAAAGCGGCAGGGAAAGCGACAGGGACAGGGACTACCTCATCCTGACGCTCACTAAGAACGACTTGGACAAGGCCAACAAAGACAAAGCTAACCGCTACTTCTCGCCAAACTTCAAGGTAAAGATTTCCTTAAGATATTTGCTTGTTGATCTCCTGTTATTCAGTCAGCGTTTTAATGGAAAGAGCAACGATGAAACTTGTTCATGATCATTTTGAAATTGCACAGACTGAAGTTAGTTTTTAATTTGCAATTCCAGGTGAAGTTGTATTTTACGAAAACCGTGGAGGAGCCTTCGAATTCTGAGGCAAGCACTTCAACATCCGTCACCCCGGACGTTAGCGACAATGAGCCAGACCATTATCGATATTCTGACACCACTGACTCTGATCCGGAAAATGAACCTTTTGATGAAGAGCAGCACACGCAAATCACAAAAGTGTGAACTCTTTTTAAACAGGAAAAGAAGAAATTATACACCAGAAAAAAAGGAGAAAACTTGAATATAAACTCAAAAGAAGAACCTTTGTCCCTTCCCTCCCCCAGACGGCAATAGAATATCATCATGTCAAATGCCAATTTTAGGGAAAAAAAGATAAATATCCTGACCAATATATTGTTTTTTTATTTTTCTTTTTTTCTTTGGCACGGCCATGTACCATGTGCGAGGTATTGACACTGTTGCCCCATGGGAAAAGGTGCTGTAGCTATAAAAATGTATTTATATATATATATATACACATACGTATATGTATATACATATATACATGCATATATAAACAAACTTTTTTGTGTCAAAGACAATGGAAAGAGTACCACAATCAGGAGACGGGAGTTGAAGTGTGGGAGAAGTTAGAATGATAAACTAGGACTATGCTGCTCCTTCTCCTGTCTAAACCAAGGCCAGTGCTGCAGTCACTTTGTTTCACTCCCTCTCTTCTCCTCCTCCCCCCCCCTTCTCCTCTCATCTTTTACTCTCCCTCCCTTCCATCCTATCCTCCTTCCTATCCTCCTTTACTGTGAATGCTTCTTGTGCTCTTTGCAGGCTGTCTCACGTGACTTTTGGTCTTTGTGCAGTGCAAACTGCATGCGGGCAGTGGGTTGGGGGTGGGCGGGGGTTATGAAGAGGCTGTGATGATGTCTAAAGCATTGCCATTCCTGTTCCCACTGTGTATACGTTAAATTATGCAGAACAAGGCATCCCATGTAATTGTTAATGTTTTTTTTTATCCTAAGATAATAAAAATATAATACACAAAACAGCAGGGAGACAAGTGTTTGCAATAATGTCAACACTACATTTAAAGGACAATGGTGATTTGCATGTATTGGAATTGGCGTCCATCCCTAATAAATGTATGCAATGTTGTCTTTTCTTAAAGAAAACCAGCTTTGAGATGTGTCTTCTGCGTGGGGTTCCCCAGTGCTTTGAGTCATGCTCAGAAAATTACATCAGAGGTTTATGTAATATTCTCCCTTCGCTGTCCGCAGTTAATGAAACTCATGCAGAATGAAAATGGAATTTTTCTAATATGCAGTTGTCATCAAACGCCGAGGCCAGCGCAGTCTTCAACTGACACCGTTGCTGTCAACTTGAAGCCGTAATTTTTAAGTGACAGCACCCGGCCTCTGTAATCTAAACTTGGACATGCGTGAGTTTGAGGGTGATCAGCCAGTCGGGGAGGAAAATATGCACAAGTGCCGCACTTGATGAGAAAAATGCTGTAAAGCAGGTTGTCGTCGTTTGCAGCTGCTGGAGCTGTGTTAACAGTAACTTCCTGCTTTAAAGGTCAGCGCTGCAAATAGCGGGTGGGACCTGAGGTAGGGAAGTGATGGAAGGATTATTATTAAAAGTTCAACTGAGGGCGAAGAGCCCACTTCAAACAAATAAGTGACTCAACCAGAGAGCTGAACATCTACATTAATGGCGGTCTGTCAGTGAGAAAAAGCGTATACGTCTGTTGAAAGAGGCGCAGCAACAGTTTGCTTTCATTCAGACTTGGAGCTAATTGAAGCTCGCACAACTGAGGTTTCACTTCTATGGTTTCTTAATAGATCAGATGGAGAGTTTTTGTTTTGATATTTCTGCCAAGTAACAGTCCATTTCCTGAATTAATTTCAAAGCAAACTGACCCCTGAACTCTGATTAAAAAAAAAAAAAACATTAACATTTGTGAGCCAAAAAAGCAGCCTGACCTCATACCAAACCATCAGTGCTGCACGCAGAGTGATTGCTGCTGGTTAATCGAGGCGTTCTCCACATGAAATGAGCAGAGGAAGGAAAGGCTACCAACCCAGGAGGGAGGAGCGCGAGGCCTCGGGGTAGACGGAGCCTGCTCTGCTCGCAGGCTTGTGTGACTCCCCAAATGAAAGAGTAACAGGATTAACGACCATGTCGCTGTGATAGGCGAGCAGAGAGTGGCAAGACCCTGGCTAAAGCATGGCCCAACGTCTCCTGATAATAAAATAAAGTATGAATTAAACATATACATTTAAAAAAAAAAATGTTCCACCCCCAGAGGCAAGCAGTCACATAATCCCCTTCTGCTCTATTAAGACTTGGTCCCCGGCTCTTTCGTGTTGATAGAGACATCAAAGCCAGCCAGTGCAGCGTCAAATGAGACAGGCAGCAGTCGCAGGGGCCCGACTGTAATTGGCTGAGTTGAGAAGGAGGGAGAGACTCTGGTAGATTAATAATGAATGTGCTGTGCTGGGTGGAGGGAGACCAGAGAGAGATGCCTCAGCTCTCCACAGGCAGGCGAGACTGAAGAGAGCGGAGAGAGGGCTGACTTCAGTAGAGCTCGAGAGTCCACATCTTTGCTTTTGATTGCCCTCCTCATCACATACACAAACACTGACATGGCAGCAGAAGCAGCAGCTGAAATATTAATCTAATCAAAATACAGCTTCATTTGTATGTCTTGGGCACCGGCTCCTCTAAAAGATGTTCGTTTTGTTTGATTTTTCTGCATCAACACCTCTCTTGAGATGAGATAAAACTGGAGATTTGGGGGAATATTTACTTTGTGTATTTCAATCTTAATTTTCTTCCATTATGTGGGTCGCATTATTACACATCCAGCCAAACAAAGATGCGATGTGATACACTTTTTTTTTTTGGAGGATGACATGAAAACCAATATGATTTGAAATTATATTAGTGTTGCATTTACAATCTGTCGGTCCACTAATCCTGTTTAGGCCATTATGGAAGCCCACTTCCAACAGAAAAAGGGGGGAAAAAGGATAATTTAGACATGATAAAAGCATAAATATTCATGTTTCATTCTACATTCTTTCAAGTTACGGGATACTGAGTTAGAAGATAGGTCAAAGTTATGAGACAGTAAGTCAAAGTTATGACAGATTAAAGGCGTGGTTACAAGAAATTTGGAAATGTATTTTGTGGCAAATTCAGTTAATTCCAATTGAATAGGTACAATTAGTGGATTCGCTCATGTCAATTTGTCACTTTTTAGTTCAAATTTAGTCAACTTTGACATGCAAATTTGAGTTTCCATTGACCAATACCAAGCCAGGGGAATGTATCTATGTTCCCAGGGTCCTAAATTCCCCAACCCTTAACCCTAGAACAGAGGAACATAGGAATGACCCCCCCTCCCACACCCACCACCTCAGGGGGTACAGAGAGCTGGAGAGTCCAAAATGGAGGAAGCTATATGTAGCCTATTAGCTGTAGGCTCTATTGGCAGAAATGAAATAGAATATTCATAGGTATGTTTTTATTAGTGTGTACTCACCTGAATATAGGAATTACTGTGTTTTCATTACCTTAGAATGAGACGTTTTTATCTATAGGTCGCCTTCTATGTAGTCCGCCATGTTGAACCACCATGTTTCTACAGTAGCCCAGAACAGACAAACCAAACACTGGCTCTAGACGGGGTTGTTTGTGTTTTCTGTGCGTTTCGCCGCCACCGTAGTTTCTCCTTCGCACTTGAAAGGGGAAGGTGAAGTGAGGGAGCTGCAATTACACCACTAGATACCACTAAATCCTACACACTGGACCTTTAAGTCAAAGTTAAGACTGCCAAAAGGATGATTTAGTAACTCATAACTGTGATTTAGTATGTCATAATACTGACCTATAAGCATACATCATGCATAACCTTTCACCATTCACCTGTTTTTGTTTGTTTTTGCAGCGGGTACGGCCTTCTGTAGCTCATGTGTCAAACTACTGTGAAGGAGAAAAAAAAAAAAAAAACCAACACCAAAATATAGAGATTTAAGCATAGTATTATGACCAAATGAGGGGGTGGGGGAGTGTGTGTGGGGGGGGTCAGTCTGGCCTACAAAGAGAAGATAAACCCAAGCTGGTAACCCCATTTCCCTTCCATCTGTTGGTAGCAGTTGTAGAGCATGGCTGCACTCACCAGGACCTGGCAACCCATCCCCCAAGCCCTCTTTCTCTGGCTGACTGCACAGCTGTGTTGCGTTTGGATTAGGCCAAGAATAAAACAGGAAGTAGAAATTAAACAAAAGCTTAAACACACACACACACACACACACACACACACACACACACACACACACTCTCATACAGGCAGTGTAAGTTACCAAAGACTCTGCAGCAACAAGAGTGACAGCCTGTGGAAAGTGCACACACCCACACATATAGACTATTGCACACAAATATACTACAGTATGAACAAAGTCATACTCTGCCTCCCACAGACTCACATAAGCCCAGGCAGGACCACAGGCGTATCATTTCTCTGTGCCCACACTCATGCTCACACATATGGTCTTTTTACATGCTAAGTGCCTCTCTGCCTCTCCTCCCCTCTTCATGGTGGTCTGCTGTGGCGGCTGATGAGGAAAACTAGCAAACACGCTCAATCAGTCTTGGAGCATGCCAGCGTAATGATGCTAATAAGGGAGTGTTTTGGTTATGGGATGACGCGCAAACGTTATATTCGTAACAAAAATGACCGCGAGTGAGATAAAGACAACATAAGTTGGTCTGGTTACTTATGTTTTCACCCTGATTAATAGTACAGAGATGTAGAAACACTACATTTCTTGCAGATTATTTCAAATAATCCACTACGATAAAGCAGCTTTTCTTTAAAGGAGATTAAGATGAATATTAAAATAGTTTTTTTTCAACATATTATTGAACATATCATTTTTAATAATTTTTGAAATCTTGATTAATCCCTTTTAGGTCGAACTGCATGATGGTCATTATGGATCACATAAAAAAAATTATAATCTACCTATAAAAGAACCATCCGAACAGCAGTAAAACCTCAAGAAGAATAACTTTGGTGTTGAATGTTGTCACTCATCTAACATTTTAGATCTTAAGAGTGTGAGTATTGTCTCTGCTGTGAACTTTCAGCAAATCCTCTGTGCGGTTTCTCCTTTTGTATGAATGCACTGAAATAGCCCGGCGATAGCACACAGGAACTACGTTCAATGAGGAAGTGGAATTGGGAAGAAGAAGGGAGATGTTTGGAAACCCGTAGCTGTACTGGAGCGGCACAGAGTTAGTTTAGCTGGCAAGGTGCATCTGATGGAAATCCATTAAAGTGCTTCTCGTCACGACTTGGACCGACTGTTAATGAATATACGGTAAATGTTTTTCAGATGTTATTTTTACTGTCAAGACCTGAGTCACCTAATGAGTCACATGAACTCTGTTGCTGTGTGAGTTTTTGTTGACATGGATATGCCAGCATGCTTGTCAGTCTGTGTGTGTGTGTGTTTATGTGTGTCTTCATGAATAAGAGAAGCACATGGAAACACTTACTGTATTGCTGTCGCCACTGACCCCTCCCCTTCCTACACACACACAAACACACACACGTACTTATTCTCTCTATTTGATCAATGAAGAGCATGTGTGTCCATTGTTCTGAATAATCCTCAACATGCATTGCCAGAGGCAAAAACCATGGACAGACACATATCAGCCATTTACCACAGAAGCATGTCGGCATATTTTACCATAGGGTACATACATACATACATACAGTACATACATACATACAGTACATACAGCCAGCACACACACACTCACACACACATTTCTAAAACAGGAACTTGTGTTATACTTTGCTCTCTGTGAAACGTGCTCCTGCTGCAGGGCTTTTATGTGTATGAATCTGCGTGCATGTGAAAACGTACGTTTATGCACCAGATTCTGTGCATTTATCAGACTTTACTTTGACAGGCTCTGTTCTCACCTGACTTTTACCCTGAAATCTTAGAGCGGGTGTAATCCTTCCCCCGTGCCTCCTCCTCATCCTCACTCTTTTCCCTCTCTCCATCTAGTGTCATCAGGAGGGTAATATGAGGCATATGGCTTCTGATGACAGTCTCTAATCCTCACGCTGATGACTGATAGTCACCCGCGC